GTATCCGGCTGAGAAGGTGGTGAATTCCTCCGGCGACAGAGGCTGCGCGTCAAACGCCCGAGTCCACAACCTGCAGATCATCATTGCTTGCCCGCCTGTTCCGTGGGAAATCCCCTGGCGCGTGGACGGCAGACGGCTGGCGTTGACATATGTAGACTAAGTGTGATTGCGTGCGGGGGAGCGTCGGAGTAGCTGGAAGCGCATGAATAGCTTGCTGCACCTTGCCACCTGACGAATTGCTCTCCAATCTCGCAAAGTTTCAGGAAGCATTCTTGTCAATGCGTTCGTTGATATAAAAGCTAAGTGCACTGCTTTGGCTGTCACTTGGGCCGCCGTCATGCCTTTGATGGATGTGGCCTGGTAGCCCGTTGCACTCGAAACTGGCAGGTCGTGAAAATTCACAACGCATGTGTCGGCGATTCCCTGTGTCATTGCCTTGTGCAGCGCGTCGCCTTCCAAAAAACATGTTTTTTCCATGCATCGACGCATCGGCGATTATTTCCGAGGAAGTCCTGCTCCCCCGGGAGGGGGCAACGCGGATCGTGGAAAATCATTATTTAGTGGTTTCGTCTTTGCTGTCGTGCCTCCCGAACGCCACAGCTCTGCTGCTCGCATGATGGCATCGTGTTTTTGGAGATCAATGGCGTTCCCTGGCGGACGTGGGCCACGCGGCAAAGGCTCAGCCCGTTAGATACGTCAGCCCGAGACATTTTATGCACTGGGCAGTGGGTCCCAGTGAGCGGCACTCTGCCAACATGCGCTCCGTCATGTCCGACAAAGTGAAAGTTGATCCGCTGCCCGCGCGCTGGCGTGGGTCGTGTTGCAGAAAGAGTATACCAGGGGTTGTCTGTGCGGCTACAATCTCGCGGCCCCTGCTTGCCGGGGGTGAAAAGGCGTGTGAGACATGCGGCTCCCGTCCCCCTTCTTTCTCTCTCCTCTGGTATGTCAAATGCCGTTGAAGTGGGGGGGGCGAGGGAGGGGGAGGAGGGTCGGGCATGCAAATGCACCCTTGGGGACTCCTGAGCCCCTGAAATTTCGAAGACGGCGCAGACGGAACGCCAGGACAGTCTAACCGAGCGTCGACACGACTCATGGTAGCCCCACGACGGTCGAAGGCGGCTTCAAGACGGCTCACGAAGCCACCAAGACGGCCCAAGAGTGCTCCCAGAGGACCGCAGAGAAAACCTCAAGAAACAAAAATCGCCCCATTCCCATCGGAAGACGCACCACCTTTGCATGCTCGCATGTTCGCTATGACAGCGTCTGAGATGGCCCAAGGCTCCCCCAAGGTCGACCCAAGGCAACCCATGAGGCTCCTAAGAGGGCCCTCTGACGGCCCAAGAAAGCATCCAGACGGCCCCAGGGACCAACAAAGCCGTCCTAGACAGACCCACGAGGGCCTCAGCAGAGCCGAAGAACAGGAATACGAGGGAGCATTTCGAACCTTACTCCCAAGATTTGCCGAAGTTCGCTGCGGAGGCGCCCCAGGCGTCCCCAAGAGACCGGAAGAGACCTCCAAGACGCTCCGAAGCAGCCCCCAAGAAGCTTCCAGGAAAGCTCCCAGGTGTCTTCAACAGCCCTGCAAGAGGCCCGTGAGAGGCATCCCAAGAGACCGTAAGATTCATCGACGAGGCTCTTGACCCACAGCCCAGCAATGGTGGCGAGTTGGTGCCGAAGGCTACCGGACGACTTTCATGATCGTCGCAAGCTCTCACTTTTTCTGGGGGTTGGCGGAGCGGCGCAAGCCATTTGAATAAGGTGGTATGCGGAACGTGGCAAGAGCCCCTGAAGCGGCAATGCCGCTTTGTCTGGAGCCACGTAAGGTGCTGGTCAAACTCCGCTGCAGTTGCTGGTTCTGGACAATATGCTTGTCTGATCTCACTCCAAACTTTGGCATGTTTTTCTTTTGCGTAGATATCATAGGCGACGTGCGCCAAAGAGCACGCTAGCATTACAGTGGTAAGAGCGCGCATGTGTCCAGGAGCACTGGGAGTAGCGAGCCCGGGGGTGAAATAGTTGTGCAATGTCAGTGCTGGCCGGCCGGAGCTAGATGCTGATGTCGACGCACTGGCACTCGACGCTTGCCGCTCGTGTGGAAGCGTGGCGTTGCGTATCCGAATGCCAGCTAGTTGCTTGAATTGGGCTCTGGGCATGTCTGCAGTGAGCTCCACGACACGCTGCCGCGCTCGCCTGTCCACTTCGGCGCGATCTTCTAATCGAGCACGTAATATGTCTACTTGTTCTTTTTGCTGGCGGACCATACGGCTCCGCGTGTTAAGCCCAAGGTCGGCGAGGGTGCGGGCCCGAGGGTCGTCCTCCAGCTTTTGAAAAGCAGCGGCCAACGCTGCCTCCTGCTGCTTCTTGTTCTGCGGCATTATACAAGGTGGCGTGAACAACGGCGGTGCGACGTTCGGTGTGCTTGAGCCGAGACGGCCATGGAATAATGAATATCATCAGGTTTTCTTGCGTGGGGTTGTCCAACGATGTCTTTCGAGTTCCATATCAATATTGCCTCTGTTTTGGGAGTGGGGTCTTCCTATGTTCGGGAGAAGCTTGTGCCGGATACCTACCATCCTCCTTGGATCTGGACGGGGCGTTTCGCGAGGGAATGGTGAGCTGAAGACGTCCCAAGATGGCTAGAAGAAGTGGTCGTGGTCGCCGTCGTCGTCGTCGTCGTCGTCGTGGTCGTCGTCATCGTCTTCGTCGCCGCCGCCGTCGCCGTCGTCGTCGTCGGCGTCGTCCCCGCCGCCGTCGGTGCTGCCGGCGGCGTCGTCGTCGTCGGTTCCCCCATTGTCCGTTTCAGCCGCGGTGGGCCCCAGGAGGCTCCAGAGTGACGGAAATGGTCAAAAGTCTCTTCGACTATCGAAGTTCGATCCCCGAGGTTCGATCCTCGACGTGACCTCCCCCTCTGAAAATCGAGGAAATCCGCGCGAATCGTAAGAAATGGAAGCGTAAGAAATGGAGTTTCCCTGGAGGAACCTCCGCTCGGTGCGGATACGGGCGGAAACGTCAGGAATGGAGTTCTCCCGGGGCCTCTAGAAGAGAGGGAGTCTGTGGGAGTAATGGGCACACCAGGAGGTTAGCCGCCAGCCCGTGCAGCTCCAGGGGGGGGTTCGGGGACAAGGACGACGGGATTTGGAAACCAGAGGGGGGGGGCGGAGGAGGAGGAGGAGGAGCACCATTTGGGCCCGGGAGGGGGGGCGGGCAGGAAAGCAGGAGGAGGCGCAAGAGGGGCGCAGGAGGGGCAAGAGTGGCAGCAGCAGAACGACGCTGGAGGCGCAGGATCTGAAGACAGCCTGAGGATAGCCCCAGAGGCGTCCAAGATGGCCGAAAGGCGACCGAACACAGTCGAAAGACAACGCCAGAGGCTTTCAAAACGGTCCACGAGGCTCACAGTATTGGTCTATGACAGAGCCTTGCTGGTGCCGTGGGTGAGGTAGCGCGCGCGAGTCGGCGGATTTGTGTGCCACTTTTTGGGCAGAAGGCGTTCCAAGTTGCGCATGGGCTAGTCCAGGGCAAGGTTCCCGACGTGCATAACAGCCAGGCATGGCGGAGAGGCAGGGTGAGACGGCGGATAAAGGGATGCGAACGGGCATGCGGCTGGGGCAACTTGGGTGCAAGGTCAGTTGTGGCGTGTGCCGACCAAGAAGCAGCGCCACTCACAGTGGACCTCGTTGTCGGACTGCCAAGCCATTTGCCAAGCGCATATGGCCAAGAATCGCTCTAGATTCGAGAAAGACATCATATGAGGACGGCTGTGCATTGAGTCGCACAAGGTGGGCTCAGATTGTTCTGCGGCCTGTGCCGGCATGGTTCCTGGCCTCTGTGCGACGAGCCAATGCCCACCCGCAGTGGGGGTCCTGAAGAGGTACGCTCCAATGTGAAACGCAGCCTGAGGACAGGAGAAGCCAGTGAACGGGTCTTGCAGACGTTCTTGAATTTCTCCGGGGGTCATTGGGAGCACGGCAAGATCGACGTTGGTGAAGTTGGCGTGGGGCACCGCGAAGTCGCAATTGCTTCCAAGGGGTCCATGAGATTCCCTCGGCGGTCACCGGTGCGCACGGACAAGGCCGTCCGCTCGAAGTGTTATCTAGAGACGGGTGAAAAGGTCATGTTGTGCGAGTGCATGGTGCAGGACACAGCCGCATGGTTGAACGCGTGGAGCCCGCACGTGCTTCCCGTCTGCTTTCTGGCGCTTGTAATGGCACCCGTTCCCGGGGAGTTGAACCACGACGGTGCCGTTGGGTAGGGGGGTAATGGCGTCGGTTGGGGCAGGTCGGTGTCGATGTGCATCTGCCATCTCGGTGTCGGCGGTACGGCTGGCGTCGGCGTGCCCTGTGACGTTCCCACGGGATGGTCACGGCCCTTGGGTGCAGGTAGTAGCGGAGGGGGCATCGGGTCTGCAGGTGTAGTCTTCCTGGATTTCGTGGGAGGCGGGGCGTCGTTGGTGCCTTCCGTCGAAGAGGAGCTAGTCTTGTGCTTTTTGAGGTCGCCCGTGGGTGTGAGCGTCTGCGGTTGATGTCGTTTGTGGGGCGTGGGTTTGGTAGGTGTTGTTGCGTCGTCAGCGGGGTCTGGGGCTGCGGTCGGGCGCATCGCGGCGAAGGTCGTGCATTGGCGTTTCGTGGCGTGTCCGACGCCAGGGTCGGTCTTGGGAGCGGTAAGGTTCGTGGGCCTCGTGTTGGGTGGTGGGGGTGGCCGCTGCGCTTGCGCGGTGGGGTGGGCGTCGGGTTGATCGTTGGGGGAGGCAGTGTCCTCTTCCAAGGGATGGGATGGTCGGAGTTGGTTGGCGTGGGTGGTGGGCATCTTGGAGCACGCTTCGTCCCAGGCCTTAGCGTCGTAGATGCAATGTCGGTCAGTAGGCGAAAGTTTCGTAGCTAGAGGTGCGTGCTCCCAAATTGGGAAGATCTTTAGCGCGCGACGCGCGGTTTCAATGGAGGGCTTCGTTCTCGCAGCACGGCGTTCTAATTCATCGAGACATGCCGCCAAGTAGTCAGGAGGGCCTTCCTCAAACCAATGCCAATCGAATTCGTTGCCGTCGGCGTCGGGCTCAGGCAAGCGGGGGAAGTTTTCGAACAGGGACCGCGATAAGCGCTGAGATCTTCCGAGAATCATGTACAGGTGCTGCTTGTATTCGGGGTCACTCATATAGTCGGGCTTGCGCAAGTCGATGGTGTGACCGATGGGTTGTCCGCTGGGCTCGCGGACGGTTTTGCCTTGCATGCTCTGAAATGTTCCGACGCGTTCTGGCGCGGTGGGAAGTTGGCATCGGGTCATGTGGACGTCGTGTTTCTGGAGTCTGTGCGTTGGCATGGCGCGTGGGTGGTTCACCGTGGCGCGGACCTGCCATTGGAAAGTCCACGTGTCATGTGTTGGTTCTAGATGCCACACGCCAGGCTTCTTCAGACCGGTGTAATCCTCTGTGGCGTCGTCAGCGCGGAACTCCACATAACGCGGCAAGCGGTCCAGGAGGACCCAACCTGTTTGCCAGCAAGGGTGGTCCGGAGGAGGGCGTCGTGGACGTCCGCGGGCGATGCCCCTGCCAAAGGCCTCCTCATCGTGGAAAGCAATGCCGACGATTTCTCCAGGCGCTTCCTGGACGAGCTCTGGCGCTAATATTTTCTTTGTGAGCTTCGCCCGCATGCCGAGATACAAAGGTCCGCCAGCCACTGGTGTTCCGCGGCCACGCGGCGCTGCAAACTTGATGATGTCTGGGCGCTCGTTCTACCGCTTGGGCTTGTCAGTGGAGGAGGGGTCGGTGCGGGGGTCCGCTCACTGCGTGTGCGTGTGAGCGTGGGGGTGCTTTGGGAAGAGCTCGCTTGCGGCGGGATGAAGATGTAGGTTTCGGAAAGGAGAGACACGGTTTGATGAACTTCCCCTGGCGTGGGACTTGGGGGCGGCGGACGGCGGCAGCCGTTTGAAGAGCATACCCATGAGTCCTGGAGTCTTGGAGCTCATGTTTGCCACTTGGAGTGCGTCCGTGTACATGTCTGGACGTGACCTGTACACGGCCTGGTGCGGGATGTCGACAGCTTGGACGTAATAGAGTAGCTGTCCGCAAGGCTGGAGGTAGCGATGTACGCGGTCGCAGACGGCGGGCAGCCAGAGCGCTCCTCGAAGCGTGTCACTGGAGAAGAGTCGGTTGCATAGTGCCGGGGGGCAGCCCCAGCGAATGCACTGCGGCGACCCTCTGGTAGAGTTGCGCGAAGCGACTGGGCCTCCACTTAAGGGGGCAGACAGTGCAGCCCACAGTTGTTGTTTACGGCCAACGGTCTCCCAGTTGATGGCGGAGTGGTACCCTTGGGCGAAGAAGCCAGGCATGGCAGTGGGAGCGCCGGACTCGTCGTGCAGAATGTAGGACGGGTCGGCACGCTGGTCGACGTCGTGATGCAATACGCATCGAGCGGCGAGTTGCTCCTTCAGGGAGGGCGGGAGTTTTTGCCCCCCAGGTGTGCGCATGATCTTCAGGATTTCTGGTAAGGGATCCCCTGGCGCGAAACGGTGGCACCCGTGGAAGAGGATAACTGACTCCGAGAGCCTATCAAAGATGTCCCAGCCTTCTTTGTCGAGGCGCTCCTTCTCAATGCGCTGGTCTTTGTCCATGCCGTCGTAAGTGGGAGCGCGGGGCATGTGTATTGCAGTGCCGCGCAGAAATGTCTGCAGTAGCGAATGCGTTCGGACGGGGTTCAGTTGCATGAAGTCCCCCATGACGATCTGCGCGAGTACGTTCCCGAAAGTTGTATCCGTGAACGACGCAGGGTCAAGGTTGTGGGAGCCGCGGCGTCCCCAATCCGCTCTTGCGTTAAGGACAGTCAACAGCTGAGGATCAGCTAAGCTCGCCTCGTCGATCATGGCCAATACGAGCTGGCCCGAAAGGTGTCGCATTTTCTCCTGGGCTTGTCTGGAAGGGCGCTTTCGGGTGAGAGTCTGCTGGCGAGTCAGGCCTGCCATGAAATGGAAAGTGGCGCCACCAATGAGCCTCGCAGCGCTGTTCTGGGCCGCGAACCCGCGGGTGCAACCGGGGAAGAAGTGATCATATACAGGTAGAACAACTTGAGTCATGAAAAAGGTTTTGCCGGATCCTCCAGGGCCGCGCAGGAAGACGCGCTGCACGAGTCTGGTGGGAACGTCCATGAGGAGCTGCCGTCTGCCAGCGCTTGTTCGGAATTCGGCAAGCTGTCCGCGGCCTGCTGCAAAGTCCCACAGCGCTTGGAGCGGTGATATACAGAAGAGCGTGGCCTCGTATTGATCTTGAGGAATGCGGTAGGTGTCGGTATGCCCGACGCGGTGGGGCAGTCGCTCAGCCATCAGCTTTCGCGCGCACATGGCGGGGGAGCAGCCCCGGGGCGTGTCTGGGAGGAACGCTGCCTCCAAAGGAGTCTCGTCGTCGTCGTCGGGGATCTCGGCGTGGCCATGTTCAGGTGGTGCGACGCGTGCCTCCCGTTCTTCTTGGGCGGCGCGCTCTTCTCGCAAGCGTCGTTGCCTGTGTGAGTTGGGGGGAGGGCATCGTTGCGGGTATTGCGAGAGGAGAATCGGGGGGGATTACGAGTTCAAAGGCAGTGGAGGTGCGGAAGGAGGGAAAGACTTGAAGAAGGAGCGGGGAGAAATATGGTAGGGAGGGCGCGGAGCCTCTGCATGGCGAGGTTGTCTGCGGCAGGTGTGTGCTGCGACCCAGCCCGAAGAGTAGGGGTTGTAGTCCGAGGCTCGCGGAGGTGCTCGTAGAGGTGGGCCTTTGCGTTGAGGAACTCCTGGATGCGGACAAATTTGTCGCCCGACCGTTTGTCCAATTTTCCAGCAGAGAGATGTCGGTGCACGACGTCCAGCACGTCGGAGTCACGTACACGCACGTGTGGTTTGTATTGGACTCCGGTCGGGGTGTCGCGCTCGGTGCCGTCGTCGCATTCGGGGTCTGCGCCAGCGGGGTCTCCGATGTCGCCCACGTCGGCCCTGGCGGCCTGCAAGCCAAGGTGCGCGTCATCATCAACGAAAGCTCCTTTGTGCAATAGTGCAGGTCGTGGCCGTTTCCGGGCCTCGGCCATGAAGTTTTAGTTAGCGCTGCTTTCGACCGTAATTAGCGCGAAGAACTCTTTCGGCGTAAGTTGTTCGTCGTGCACGCCGAAAGAGGTGAAGGGTGCAGTGCTTGCTGAGTCCTGGGTGGGGTCAGCTACCTGTGCGCGGGTGTTGGCGAGGCCGGGGGTGTTGCTGAATCGTAAGGCTTCGGCGTTGTAGTCGATGACGTCGGAGACGAAGCCGAGAATTCTCCGAGCGACGTCGGGTGGCAACGGCCGGAGGAAGCCTGCGGGCTGGCCGTCGTGCTGGGCGTGGTGCGTCCGAACGAAAAGCTTCCTCGAGGACGGAACGCGTGCACCGGCAATGCGTGGTGCTCTGCAATGCAGCGCGCCTCCCCCGGACCATGGTCCAACGTAGCAGTGCCGGTACGCTCCACAAAGCCACGGGATCAACCAGTCGTGGACCATGCAGTGAGTTTGGGCCCCGTCGACCATCCATGACCGAAGGGCCGTGGCATCGAGAAGAGTAGGAACACGGCGAGCACGCTGTAGTTTGGCATCGGCGCGTTGGGCCAGTGTGATTTGTTCAGCTTCGAAAGCTCGCCACGGTTCCAGGAAGCGGTCCATGCCTTTGCGCGGGGTTGCCGCACGTGTCGGTCGAGTGCGGCCGTGCAGGGTGTCAGTCTTGGCGGAGGTTGCATGAGCGAGGTAACGGCTAGAATGAGCAGCAGGACTTGTGCAGCACTCCTTGTTTTGGCGCCTCGTTGGTCTGAACAAGGTTTGCTGCATCATCGCATGGGTGGAAGCGTCGGAAGCCTGCGTAGGCAAGGTGATACCATGTAGGTACGGTGTCCGCGGCGATTCCAGAAGAGTCTGTACAGTAGTCGCCGCTTTGCAGTAGTGGGCCTCGAAGGGGAAGTGCTTGATGCCGCGTAGCTCTGCTTCAGCGCGTGGGCAGACGTGGACGTACATGGCATTATGGTAGTACCCCATGCCGGCAAAAGGTTCTAAGGAGCCTCGGCGCAACCAATCATCGTAGAACGCATCCGTGGACAGGCGCGCTGCGGGGTCTTCCGCTGGGGTGGCGTTGGTGGCCGCGGTCGGGGGACGCGCCTCGGGAAGGGGAGGGGGGGTCGGCGCAGGACGCAACAGCTGGATGTTGGACAACTTGTGGTGGGTTTCAGGTGGTGCGTCGGCGGCTCCAGTCTCCAATTGCCTCAGGGTTTCCCGAGCGGACCAGACCCGGCGTTTCATCATGACTCGCCAGTGCTTGTGTGTTCGGATAGTTTCCCGTCCTGTTAAAAGTTGGAGAGCCATCAAACAGCATCCCTTCATGATGGCATGGTTCGCCGAGGACCAGAGTCGGATGAGGCGTCGGCGTGCCTCATTCTGCGAGCTTGATAGGGGCGTCGGGCCTGCGTGTGCGGTTGCCACCAGAGCGCCAGGTCTGCAGTCTGCGTTGTGGACGGCACCCTTCTGCAGGTAAGCTGTCATAGCTGCGGTGTCGTGCTCTTTTTTCATCTGTGCCTCGAGCTGTTCCATGCCGTGCGTGAGATGCTGCAGAAGAGGCCCACATGTCATGTTGGGCTTCGTGTTGTAGTCGCAAGTGTAGAAGCTCGTCTGGATCCCACTGCGGATGGACTCGACCACTGAGTAAACGAGGTTGGTGCGGATAGCCAGTGCCTCTGAGCTGAGGACAGCGTCCCCGACGCGGCGTCGTTCAGCAGCGCCGTGTCTCGCACAGGAGACGAAGCACGTCTGCTTGCAGCAGAGCAGGAGCATTGTTGTCGTCGGCGGCGGTCCCAAGAACGAGGATACCACCCGATGGGCGGCAGCATCGGCGTACCGTCCGTTGGTGGCATGGTGAAATCGGCCGACCTCCGGTAAAAGGAGATGGGGAGTGTGAGGGTCCTGGCGACCCGAAGGTGAGTTCCGAGAGAGCCCAAGATGGCCTCGCCCTCAGAAGGCTCGCAGGGAGGATATGCGACTGAGAGGAAAGCAACCAAGCTGATCCCTACAGGGAACTTTGCGTCGATTCCCTGGGTGTCCGTTTGGGCGAAGTGGGTTCCCAGTGGAAGGCCTCATGAGGGTTCTGGTGGGTGCCTTTAGAGTCCCTTGGTGGCCTTCGGGGTGAGCTCAGCACGTTGCCATGCGAGTCTCAAAATGAGCACAGCACGGCAGCATTGGAGGCATCTTTGGTACTGAAGCCGTGCGAGGTGAGCTCAGCACGCGACCATGCGAGCCACTGGCTTTGGAAAGGGCTCGCGTGTGGAACGAAGTGAAAGGAACGCGAAGTAGAGGTTCGAGCTTCTACAGTGTGCATTGAAAGGCGGATCCAAGACGGCGTAAAGGCGGCTCCAAGAAGGTGGCGTCCGAGAAAGCTTAAGATAGCCTCGTCCTCAGAGGGGTCGTCGGGGTGATATGCGAATCAGAGAAAAGCCAAGAAGTGGAGCCCTGGACGAGCTTTTAGTCGGTTCCCTGGTTGTCCGTTTGGGCCAAGTGTGTCCTCAATGGAAGGCTTCATGAGGGTTCCGGTGCGTGTCTTCGGAGTCCCTTGCGGGCCGTCGGGGTGAGCTGAGCACGTTGCCCTGCGAGCCTCGAAATGAGCACAGCACGGCATCATTCGAGGCATGTGAAGTAATTGAAACACGGAACCAAGATGGCGTGAAGACGGCTCCAAGAAGGTGGGGTGCGAGAAAGCTTAAGATGGCCCCGCCCTCAGAGTGCTCGTAGGGGCGAGATGCGAATCAGAGAACAGCCAAGATGTGGACCCCTGGAGGAACTCTGTGTCGGTTCCCTGGTTGTCCGTTTGGGCCAAGTGGGTTCCCAGTGTGAGGCCTCATAACGGTTCCAGTGAGTGTCTTCAGAGTCCTTGGTGGCCTTCGGGGTGAGCTCAGCACGTTGCCATGCGAGCCTCGCAGGGAACACAGCACGGCATCATTCGAGGCATATGAAGTAATCGTAATTCAAAGGCGGATCGAAGGCGACGGGAAGACGGCTCCAAGAAGGTGGGGCCCGAGAATGGTTAAGATAGCCTCGCCCTGCGAGGGCCCGTAGGGGTGAGATGCGAATCAGAGAAAAACCAAGAGGTGGACCTGACAAGGAACATAGCGTCGGTTCCCTCATTGTCTGTTTGCGCCAAGTGGGTTCCGAGGAAGCTTAAGATAGCCTCGTCCTTAGAGGGGTCGTCGGGGTGATATGCGAATCAGAGAAAAGCCAAGAAGTGGAGCCCTGGAGGAGCTTTTTGTCGGTTCCCTGGTTGTCCGTTTGGGCCAAGTGTGTTCTCAATGGAAGGCTTCATGAGGGTTCCGGTGCGTGTCTTCGGAGTCCCTTGGGGGCCGTCGGGGCGAGTTGAGCACGTTGCCCTGCCGTCCTCGAAATGAGCACAGCACGGCATCATTCGAGGCGTGTGAAGTAATTGACAGACGGAACCAAGATGGCGTGAAGACGGCTCCAAGAAGGCGGGGTGCGAGAAAGCTTAAGATGGCCCCGCCCTCAGAGTGCTCGTAGGGGTGAGATGCGAATCAGAGAACGGCCAAGAAGTGGACCCCTGGAGGAACTTTGCGTCGGTTCCCTGGTTGTCCGCTTGGGCCAAGCGGGTTCCCAGTGGGAGGCCTCATAAGGGTTCCAGTGCGTGTCTTCAGAGTCCTTGGTGGCTTTTGGGGTGAGCTCAGCACGTTGCCATGCGAGCCTCGAAGTAAGCACAGCAAGTCATCATTCGAACCATTTGACATACTGAAGCCGTGCGAGGTGAGCTCAGCACGCCACCATGCGAGCCACCAGCTCTGCAGAAGCTGTGCGTGTGAAAGGGAGTGGAAGGAAAGCGAAGAAGAGAGCCGTTACATAATGCATTGGAAGACGGGCCCAAGACGGCGTGAAGACGGCTCGGAGCCTTTCGGATAGGAATTTCAAGCTACGCAGACCATCGCGGTGCATGTGCAGGATGGGTGGAAGTCCTGCTCGCTTAGTTAGCGGGGTATCCGGCCGAAGGTAATCCTCGGAGTTGTCGTACTCATACCCGTCCGTGAGGGTGCGGCGACAATCCTGGTAATCCAAATTCCCTCTGTGCGCAACCTTTCCTGCCATTGTCGTGCTGCCCTCTCTGGGGTTGAACCGCACTGTATTGATGCGCCCACGGCGTGTCTGCCTGTCGTCGGGTTCGACGCTGGCACCAAGGGAGCCATCGGTGAACAATCCAGTGTCGGCCACGATAGGCATGGACTGAGTGTCTATAGGAGGCTGGCCACGTACTCGTGGCAGCTGTGGCTCCTTTCCCACGCGGGCCAGTAGCCGTTCTACAATCCGCTCCTTGGCCTCACCTTGACTGGGCTGTCGGTGGTGGACGGCGGCCAGAGTCTGACGAAGTGCACGAATCCGAAACGGCAGTGTTGAGGCTTGCGAGAGATGCCATCCTCTATGTACTTGAAGCATGTGTCATGGTGCTGATGGATGCGGCCGCTGATGCTGCTGATGTTCCAGTGATCTTCTGCGAATGCAGCCGCATAAGCCGCAGCTTCGGCCTGCGTAGTCGCATCGTCGTGGGTGGCGGTCGCGAAGACCTGAGACCTCGCCGCGCAGCCGACGCATGGGCACGATGGTTGCGTTTCTGGGAGGATGCGGTAGTGCGGGAGCTTTGAAAGTGTCGCGCCTGTCAAAGGAAGGGCGCGTTCTCGAACTGGGGTGCCTGTGGTCGCGTCGTGCGGCGTCTGTAGGTAGCGTAGGACATGATGGTCGACGAAGGCGGGCGCTGGAGGAACCAGAAGTCGTCGCCTGGTAGGGCCCTCTCGGTCGCCCTCGAGGTCGCCGTCGAATGTGCCCTCGCGCTGCCACCTCTCAAGGTAAGGGGTGCTTTTGAGGGGTGGAGCCTCTGAGGCGTGGTCCACGAAGTGCAGTGGGACAGTAGCGGAAGATGTAATCTGTAAGGCCTCGACGGCTTGGTGCACAGCGCGCTGCCAACGTTGCAGAGTCGATCGCGCCTCGGCTGTGTCTTTGCGGAGGACGGAGCGCAACCATGATTGAGACGTTCGGTTGACGAAGTGGAACACCATGTGGGAATGCGTGCTCAGGCGCGCTTGATCCTCGATGGGGCCGCTCAACGATGCAATCATGTTCATCCCGCCTCCCACGGCGGAAGCTGCGTAACCGTCAGGAAAGACGACTCCGTTGGCTGTCCCATTGTGCTGGAGCAACTCGTCGAAGGGCCCAGTTCCCAAGATATGTTCACAGAACAATCGTTTGCTGAACCGCGGACCCGGTACTGTCGGGCGCTCGGTGGCTTAGTGCAGACGGAGGAGGTGATAACGGCGAGGTGTAGGGAGGCCAAGGCGGAGGGGGCAATGAGGGGGCCAGGGTGGCGCTCGAAGGAGGTGGTTGGTGGGCTAGGTATTCCACGCGCTGGCCGTCTCCCGGCCTGCGGCCGAGTCGGCGCAGGGGTGAGCAGGGGTGGGGGGGCCGGGGAAGCCGCAGCCAGCGCTGTTTGACAGACGTGTTTGGGAATCGGCGATGCGGAGGGGGTCGGCGGAAGGTGCCGGAAGCTCGGAGATAATGAAGAACCTCGCTTGCGCAACAGGGTCTTTGGCGATTATTTCTAGCATCCTTTGCGCTGTTGGCATCGTTGGGTTCTCGTCGAGGAGAGAGATGGAATACCTTTCCGTGGCGCCGTCGTCATCGAGTCATGGAAGGGGAGGGGGCCTGACAACTGCTGAAGTGCGTGGAGGGTGGGCGTGGAGACGCTGGGGAGGAAAGTTTCTGGCAGGGAAGGCTTCCAGTTTTTCAGCGGTGCGGAGATGTGAGAGACATGGGGGAGAACCTAGGATGGGGGAGAGGGAGGGGCGTCTTTGAGCAGAAGTCGGTCCTCCGCTGGTGTGGTTGAGGGAACCGGCATGCAGGATCACCGCTAAAGGGTTCCGGGTGTCCGCAACGTTCGGGGTGAGGAAGCCTCCTATGCCACCGAATCGGAGCATGTCCCCCATCTGCTCGTGGCGAAGCTGTTGACGAGCACCCTCGGAACCGACAACGTCGCTGCTGAAGAAGAGGAGGTTGCGTACGACCTCCCGCAACGAGGCGGGAGCGTTGTCAGAAAGCAAGCACTCACGGAATCCGGCTCTATCACCCATGGAGTCGAAAGCGGATCGGAGCTGGGTTCCCGTGGCCTGGCAGACGAGGTTGACGCTGGTTTGGAAACCTCTTCGTCGTGCGTGGGCTCCGGCTTTGCGCGTGAGCTCCATCCTGCGCCAGGAGTCGTACAGGACGCATAGGAAGTCGAGATCGGCGCCCCAGCGTGGTTGGGCTGGTGGGACGAACGGCGTGGTTCCTCTGGCGCATTGCGCACACGGTCGAGCGCCGCGCTTTACAAGAGGGCAGTCACGTGGCAAAGTTTCTTGGACCTGATAGCGGAGCTCAGCACGTAGCAGGAGCATGCGACACCATTGCTGGAAAGACAACGGGCGGCGTCGGTCGATGCCGTAGACGCCATCCCCGTACGGAAACAGGTGGGGAAAGGCTTTTTGCCAAAATTCTTTGTCGTACATGGAGAGGGGCCGTTTGCTTGTAGGAATGACCCAAGTTCCGTCAGGGTGTTGCCGGGCGGCAGGCTCTCGGCTTTCTGCCGCTTCCATAGCCTGTAAAGTGCTGTCCAACTGCTTGCGGTATTCGTCAGAATTCAGGTATTTTGCCAAGGCCTGCAAAGACTCAATCTCGGTGGCGACGTCGGTTGTGGGTGCATCTGTGGAAAGTTTGGAGGATAAGGATCTCGAGCTTGGCGGCGAACTCGCAAGCTGCTCGGTCAGCGTCCAGCGCACCCGTGGAGAAGTCGGTTGCGGCGCAGTGGAGGTTGACGTCGTCGGAGTCGGGGTGAAGTTCGTCGGTGGTCTCTGCGCGTACAGGCGGTGGTGCGGTGTCGGGGTCGACGTGGGGCGTCGGTCTGGCGGTAGGGTCTTCCATGGCTCTCCCGTCCTCTGTGATGATGCTTTCTGGCACGGGGACTTCGGGTGCGTCGAGCGTGGCAGGTCCAGGGATGAGGTGCGGCGTATGTGTGGTGGCCTCTACGCGGGTGGCTTGTTGGAGAACCTCTGCGCAGCTGTGTCCTGCTTCTTGGAGTCGTCGTGCGGCTTCATTCTCGTCAATGTCGAGTGCGTGGTAAGCCTCCGAGTGCGCCACGCAGAAACGCACTGCCGTCATGTATGCTTCTCGAGGGACTTCAGCCCACGTAGCTTTATCCAAGTCGTCTACGGATGCGCCGGCAAGTGCGATGGAGAGGCCGTCGGCGAAGAACTGCTGAGAAACCTCGTGTTCGACAGGTAGGGCTTGTGTCACGAGCTCTTTGGCGTAAGCCTGCGGGAAGCAAATTGAATTGCTACGCAACCCCTTCTGCTTCGTGCGGGGATCTGCCTTCTTTGTCTTCTCGGCGATTATTTTCCGAACGAGCATGCGGGCGAGGGCGAGCATGGCGAACGTCATGGGGGACAGCTTCGCACCGTTTTTCCGGAATGCGACAGGTTCTCGCAATATGAGGTTGTCGTTAGCCAGAGCGTACCGAGGGAGGAGGGGCGTTTTCTTGGAGAGGTCGAGCCTGCAGCTAAGGCACGTGGGTATGGAGGGGAAGCGACCCTCGGAGTCCGGCTGCAGCGTGTTGTCCGGGAGCAGGCCGGGGCCACCGTCCATGGAGACAGGGATCGCTGTGGTGTCCAGTATCCAACGGCAGGCAGTGCCGTCGGAAGCCGTGGCCCAAGGGTGCACGACGCTTGTGCCGTGAACCTCTGCTCGGGGCAGGGTGTGGTGGCCCCCTGATGATTCGGGAGCCCGCCATCGGTCCATGTAGGCATCTGCTGAGAGGAGGTCGTTGAGTTTCCGTGCGCGAGAGTGCACCTGGGCGGAGCCGCGTTGGACTTCACCATCATCGCCGTCGTAATCCTCGTCGAGGTCCGGGCGAGGCCCGTTTGTAGAGCCTTCGGCGGGCCGCGGGTCGAACAGCTCGAACTCTTCGAGGTCTTCCTTCCAGAATATCATGGCGCACACAGCGCAGCTGGATAGACCCCGCTCTTGGCCGTTGTGTAGTGGAAGGTCGTGGTCGATCTTGTGCGTTCCAGGGTAGCTGTGCGTCTGATGGCGTGCGTGCGCGCTGACGGCACGTCTGACTTCTTGTCCTGCGACAGGAAACGGGCCGTCACGCTCCTCGTAGTAGAAAACTCGCTTTCTGTACTCTTCCTCGAGGCGCACGGCCTCGAGTCCGGCAACGCTGCAGTGAGCCTCGGGCAGGTGCTCGGTGAGGCCGCCATCCCCGAGTGGGGGGAGCGCGGGGAGCGAGTAAACCGAGACAAACAGCTACAAATCGGAGGGCATGTGCGTAGAAGGGGTGCGTCGCAGAAAGCAGGAGGGGGGTAATGAAGAGGCCTTGTGTATTTAGTGGGTGAGGTGGGCTTGCAGATAACACGAGGCGTGCAGGCGAGGGGAGGGCAGGAGTGGTACGAATGGAGTTGTGGCGGGGGGGTGGGGGGAAGCGGAGAAAGCCACGCGCGTGCTGCATAACGAATCCTTGGAATCGCAGCCATGACCACAGAGGTAGCACGCGACGGGGGCGCCACAGAGTGGTAGGCGAGAGAAGGAATGCCGAGTGCCGTGGTCACGCAGGAGGTGGGCTGGAAGGTAGGAGTCGCAGATCGCCGTCTCAGTCCAGATATCGCGGCCCAGCTGCCCTTCCCATTGCCGAATCTCCTCTTCGGAGAGCTGGGCTCGGAAGAGAACCTTGCGGTTCAGAGCTGGGTGGAATCTGTGCTGGTCGCCAAACCGAGCCTGTCGGGTGACTGCCAGTTGACGCGCCAGCTCCGCTTCATTGTATGCTTGATTTTGTCCCCGGTGGGTTCGAGCAGCAGGTAGCCTATGGTTCGCGTCTTTGAATGCGACAACATCGTCGAGCAAAGTGTCCTCTTCCCAGTCGAATGTCTCGGAGGTGTCGGGCAAGGAGTTCAAGAGGTCCACGGTGGTTTGCCACGCAGCACGCTCTTCTGGGGATAGTGGCGTCCTGGGTGTCCAAGATGAACCCATTCGGGGGATCTTCGTGCGGGCAGCAAGGGCGTGATGTAGACATTTGCGAAGTAGACGCTCCTGTCGAAGGTGTGATTGGGGGGGGGCGACGGTGGTCGTTGATGAAGTTGCGCAGTGCAATGGCCAAGTCTGTTTGGGAAAGCCTCGCGTACGTAGCTTCGTATATGAGGTCAGACCGGGAGGAATCCCGGGAAGACGTAGAGGATAAGCGGAGGGCGCTCCGGGCAGCCTCCTGGTGCAGAGTGTCGTAGGGGCATGTCCGTAAGGCTTGCAAATCGCCCGCTGTAATCGGCAGGGTGACGTAGAGCTCGGTGTCTGCAAGGATTTGTTTCGCACGTTGCCGACGATGTCTTCCCAGGTCGGCGGAGTCAATGTCATAGGCGAGGCACCGCGCGTCGAGGGCGGGGTCGAGCGCAACGTCGCTGTGCGTGGACTGCAAAGGGCAAGTGTCGAGAGCGAGCTGGAGTAAGGAAGGCCAGACGTCTGGATGTTGCTTAGCCCACTGCACGACGGCGGAGAGGCGGAGAGGTTGTTCCCAAATTGGGATGCGCAGCAGCAGGTCAACCTGATGAACGATCTTCTCGATGTACTCCTGTACGTGAGCGGCACAGAGTTGCTTGTCGAAGGGTAGGCCGAGCGCTATGCACCAGGCTGTGATAGTGACAGGGGCGTCAGCGCGGGAGGTGTGGAGTTTCCACGTGGGCAGCCAGGCGCGCAAGTGTCGTTCCCAATCTTCCGGATGCTGGCGAGCCCACTGCTTGATGAAAGCCGCGTCGAAGTGGTGGGGCCACTGAGGCTCCGCTCGCAGTATGGCAGTTGCGTCGACGATTTGGTGGATGCACTGGGGCCTCAGATCGTTTCGGAAGCCTTTGAACGGAATGAGGAGGGCTGCGCACCAGTCCTCGATCGTAACCTCGTCGGGGCCTCTCTGCTTTCTCGCGGGTTTCCAGACGGACAGTCCGCGTCGTAACTGTGTCTCCCAAGTGGGGGGTGCATTGTGGGCCCAGTCTTGGATGAATGCGCGGGTGAGGAGAGGTGGCCACTGAGGCCCAGGCGGGTCGGGAGGGCCTGGAGGCTCGGCGTGCGTGGCAGGGGCACTGTATATCTTAGCGGCGGCTGCGACGATGCAGTCCGTCAGGCGTTGTCGGTGAGTCTCGTCGTAGCTGTGAAGAGGAATGTTCAGAGCGACGCACCAGTCTTCGACGGAGGTGTCCTTGGGTCCTCGCCGGTGGGATGCCATGGGGCACGTGGAGAGGGTGTGTCGCAATTTGAGTTCCCAATCAGACGTGTGCCGTCGCGCCCATGCGCGCATGAAACTGGTGGTGATGTCGGACGGCCATGCTTGCACGAGCGACCGAGCTGCCGTGAGAATGCGTTGCACGTACTCGGAACGCAAGTCGTTGCGGAATCCTTTGAATGTGACGCCGAGGGCGATGCACCAATCTTCGAGTGTGATGTCCTTGCTGCCGTGCCGCTGTCTCTTTAAAGGGCCCCATGCCTGTAGGCCCGACTCCAGGGTCGCTTCCCAGGCGTTCCCTTGAGACGCGATCCATGTGGTGATGAAGTCGGTGGTGAGGTGGCGAGGCCATCTTGTTTGGGGCGTGCGTTCCGCAGGCGAGCTTGGTGGAAGTAGGCGCGCTGCTGTGAGGATCCGTTGCACGTACTCGGTGCGCAGGTCGTCGTTGTACCCCTTGAAGGGCACGCCCAAAGCGATGCACCAATCTTCGAGTGTGATGTCAGTGCTGCCGTTTCGCTGCTCTTTCGAGGGCTCCATGCTTGTAAGCCCGACTCCAGGGTCGCTTCCCAGGCGTCTCCTTGAGACGCAATCCATGTGGTGATGCAGTCGGTAGTGAGGTGTCGAGGCCATTTGGTTGGAGTCGTGCGTTCCGATGGCGAGCTTCGTGGAAGCAGGCGCGCTGCTGTGAGGAGCCGTTGCGCGTACTCGGAGCGCAAGTCATTGCGATACCCTCTGAAGGGCACTTCGAGGGCGATGCACCAGTCTTCCACGGTAATGGTGGTGAGGCCCTGACGCTGGGCTTTACGGGGCTTCCATGTTTGCAGACCCGTTGTCAGAGACGATTCCCAATTGTCGCCATGAGTCGCAATCCAATCCGAAATGAAGGCCTTGGTGAGTGTGCGCGGCCAACGCGTCGACGAAGGCATGTGTGCTCGGGGTATGGCGATGCAGGAATGTCGCCAGACGTGAAACACATTGCAGCAGGCCTTGGGTGCGCGCGCCCGGTCGGATCCAAGTGGCGACGGATCCTGGGGGCTCCAGGGGAGGCCATGGGGCCATGGGGCAACGTGAAAGTCATGTTGGGGGCATGTTGCACCGCAGTCCGGAGAGAAAGGTAGCGGGAGGGAAGATGGTGCGTCTTGGAGGTGAGCTGAGCACGCGACCATGCGAGGGACGAGGTGAGCTCAGCACGTTCCCATGCGAGCCACCACCGGCAGGCCGGAGAGAAAGGCAGCGGAGAAAAAGATAGTGCGTCTTGGAGGGGAGCTCAGCACGCGACCGTACGAGTGACGAGGTGAGCGCAGCACGGTCCCATGCGAGCCACCGGCGGGGGGGGGGTGTCGCGGGTGCACATGGCGGGCGAGGCAAGGGAGTCGGAGGGCCCTGGGAGGCCCCTGGCGGCCTCGGGTATGGTGAGGGGGTGTGTAGGGAACGTTTATAAGGAAAAGGGTACCAACAAAACGACGGCACGTGTTGGAGGTGGGGAGCGCACGCGACCAAGCGAGGCAGGACGTGAGCTCAGCACGTGTCCATGCGAGCCACATGGAAGGGAGGGGGGGAGCTCAGCACGCGACCATGTGAGTCACGAGGTAGGCTCAGCACGTTTCCATGCGGGCCACAGGAAGGGAGGGGGCGCGATGTCGCAGGACGGGCGAGAGGATGGAGTTTGGGGGATGTGGAGGTCCTGGGGGCTCTCGGGTTGTGCTGGAGGTTTTGTCGGGCACGTGTCTGACTGTATGAGGACTGAATTGGACGACCTGCGGCGTGAGTCTCCTGGGGTCCTCGGGTTTCGTGGGAGGTTGTGCCGGGCGCGTTTCTGAGGAGAAGGTGGCCCCAAAAAACGGCGGTACGTGTTGGAGGCGGGGTCTCTTCGGGCGGGGAGCCCGAACTGTCGGTCCCTGCCCCCCCTCTGGGGGCTCTCTTGAGGCGTTCCTGGGTCCTTCTGAAGCCGTCTTGGAAGGCTGCGAGACCCAGGGAAGGAAAGCAGAGGATGCCTACATGGTGCACTATGTTGGTTCCCTAGTTGTCCGTTTGGGCAGTTGGGTTCCGGCGGAAGGGTTCGTGAGGCTTGCTGGGGCCTTCTTCAGACTGTCGTGAGGGGCCTTCGGGGTGAGATTAGCGAGTTGCCATGCGCGAGGCGAAGTGGGCGCAGGACGGGGCCATGCGAGGCCTCAGAAGAACTCGGGTTTGGTCAGGTAGCGCGCTGGAAAGGGCGAAAAGAACGATTTGTGGGAGTTGGCCGAGAGGTGATTGGAACGAGATGCGAGACCCATGGAAATAAAGAAGAGGATGCCTTGATGGTGTATTATGTTGGTTCCGTGGTTGTCCGTTTGGGCAGTTGGGCTCCGAGACAGATTAGGTGAGCTCAGCACGCGACCATGCGAGCCACCGGGTTTGGAAAGGATGTGCGCAAGAAAAGATGACAGAAGGAACACGAGCGTGAGTGGAGCACGTTGCCACACAACGCAGTCTGGCGGACTGGTGGGGACTTGACTGGGGGACTTGTGGGAACTTGACATTTCGACTGGGGCTTTTCTGGCCAAGCTTCCTCAATGAAAAGGTATCCAAAAAAGGACGGTGCATCTCGGAGCGGATCTCAGGACGCCATCCTGGGGCCCTCTTGAGGCAGTGTCGGGGTCCGAGGCGAAGTGTGCAGAGGACGGGGCCATGCGAGGCCTTAGGGAAACTTTGGTTTGGTGAGGTAGCGCGCTGGACAGGGGAAACAGAACGCTTCGTGGGAGTTGGCCGAGAGGTGATTGGAAAGAGATGCGAGACCCACGGAACTAAAGAAGAGGATGCCTTGATGGTACACTATGTTGGTGCCCTGGTTGTCCGTTTGGGCAGTTGGGCTCGGAGACATAATAGGTGAGCTCAGCACGCGACCATGCGAGCCACCGGCTTTGGAAAGGATGTGCGCAAGAAAAGATGACAGCAGGCGCACGAGCGTGAGTTGAGCACGTTGCCCGTCAACGCTTTCTGGGGGACTTGTGGGAACTTGAAATTTCGACTGGGGCTTTTGTGGCGAAGCTTCCTGGATGAGAAGGTATCCAAAAAAGGACGGTGCATCTCGGAGCGGAGGTCAGGTCCTGGGGCCCTCTTGAGGCAATGGGCGCTGCTAGGGGCTTCCTGGAGGCTTCTGGGGGCTTCCTCGAGGCGTCTTGCGGCCACTATGTTGGTTCCCTGGTTGTCCGTTTGGGCAGTTGGGCTCGGAGACATAGTAGGTGAGCTCAGCACGCGACCGTGCGAGCCACCGGGTTTGGAAAGGATGCGCGCAAGAAAAGATGACAGAAGGCACACGAGCGTGAGTTGAGCACGTTGCCCGTCAACGCTTTCTGGGGGGCTTGTGGGAACTTGAAATTTCGACTGGGGCTTTTGTGGCGAAGCTTCCTGGATGAGAAGGTATCCAAAAAAGGACGGTGCATCTCGGAGCGGAGGTCAGGTCCTGGGGCCCTCTTGAGGCAGTGTCGGGGCCCTCTTGGGCGCTTCTAGGGGCTTCCTGGAGGCTTTGGGGGGCTTCCTGGGGGCGTCTTGCGGCCTCTTGGAGGCTCTTCGGGGCCTCCTGGGGGCCTCTTGGTGTCTCCTGGGGGTCTCTTCGGGAGGGGAGCCCGAAATGTCGGAACTAAAGAAGAGGATGCCTTGATGGTGCACTATGTTGGTTCCCTGGTTGTCCGTTTGGGCAGGTGGGCTCGGAGACATATTTGGTGAGCTCAGCACGCGACCATGCGAGCCACCAGGTTTGGAAAGGATGTGCGCAAGAAAAGATGACAGAAGGCACTTGGAGTCTCTGTGGGGCCTCCTGGGGGCCTCTTGGTGACTTCTGGGGGGAGCCCGAAATGCCGGAACTAAAGAAGAAGATGCCTTGATGGTGCACTATGTTGGTTCCCTGGTTGTCCGTTTGGGCAGTTGGGCTCGGAGACATATTAGGTGAGCTCAGCACGCGACCATGCGAGCCACCAGGTTCGGAAAGGATGTGCGCAAGAAAAGATGACAGAAGGCGCACGAGCGTGAGTTGAGCACGTTGCCCGTCAACGCTTTCTGGGGGACTTGCGGGAACTTGAAATTTCGACTGGGGCTTTTCTGGCCAAGCTTCTTGGATGAAAAGGTATCCAAAAAAGGGCGGTACATCTCGGAGCGGAGGTCAGGTCCTGGGGCCCTCTTGAGGCAGTGTCGGGGCCCTCTTGGGCGCTTCTGGGGGCTTCCTGGAGGCTTCTGGGGGCTTCCTGGAGGCGTCTTGAAGCCTCTTGGAGGCCTCTTCGGGGCCTCCTGGGGGTCTCTTCGGGCGGGGAGCCCGAAATGTCGGTGCCTGCCTCCCCCCTGGGGACTCTCTTGGGGCGTTCCTGGCACCTTCTGAGGCCGTCTTGGAGGCGACTTGGGCCGTCTTGGGTTTTTTTTTGGCCGTCTGGGCGCTCTCTTGGGAGCCGCTTACGCCGTCTTGGAGCGATCTTTGGGGCCTCTTGGGCCGTCTTGGAGTGCGGGAAGCCGAACAGGCGAGAACACGAAAAACGTCGAAAAACTTGTGGAAAAGTAATGAATTTTGACTCTTGGGGCTCTCCTGGGGAGCCTCTTGGAGGCCTCCTGGACCGTTTTGGGGGCTCCTTGGGCGTCTTGGGCCGATCTTTCGGCGACTCGAGGCCCTCTTGGACCGTCTTGTGGATCATCTTGGGGCCGTGCGTGCCTCCCGGAAGCGCGTCTACAAAAATGGTGCAGCATGGTGCCGTGTTCGGCCGTCTTCCGCCGGCGTTCCGCCCGTGGCCGGGGCCCTGTCCGGGGGGGTCCCCCCCCAGACCCCCCCAGGGGGACACGCAGCGGGAACCCCTCCGCCAGGTCGGGGAAAAATATTGCGTCCGCCGGGGGGGATCAAGAAGAATTATTTTTCAGTAGAGTTCAGCAGGGCTCAGTTGCGAGGGAGGTCCCAGGCGGGAGCGCCGCTCCCGGAGTAATGTGCGAGGAAGTCTCAGGCGGGAGCGCCTCCGCCTGAGTAAACTGCGAGGAAGTCCCGGGCGGGGGCGGGGGTCCTGAGTAAATGTGGAGGAAGTATCAGGCGGGAGCCGTTGTTGTTATAGTCCGGGGGGCCAACAACACAGTTGTTCAGTTGTGAGGGGCCCGAGAATGGTTAAGATAGCTTCGCCCGTCGAGGGCCCGTAGGGGTGAGATGCGAATCAGAGAAAAACCAAGAGGTGGACCTGACAAGGAACATAGCGTCGGTTCCCTCGTTGTCTGTTTGCGCCAAGTGGGTTCCGAGGAAGCTTAAGATAGCCTCGTCCTTAGAGGGGTCGTCGGGGTGATATGCGAATCAGAGAAAAGCCGAGAAGTGGAGCCCTGGAGGAGCTTTTTGTCGGTTCCCTGGTTGTCCGTTTGGGCCAAGTGTGTTCTCAATGGAAGGCTTCATGAGGGTTCCGGTGCGTGTCTTCGGAGTCCCTTGGGGGCCGTCGGGGTGAGTTGAGCACGTTGCCCTGCCGTCCTCGAAATGAGCACAGCACGGCATCATTCGAGGCGTGTGAAGTAATTGACAGACGGAACCAAGATGGCGTGAAGACGGCTCCAAGAAGGCGGGGTGCGAGAAAGCTTAAGATGGCCCCGCCCTCAGAGTGCTCGTAGGGGTGAGATGCGAATCAGAGAACGGCCAAGAAGTGGACCCCTGGAGGAACTTTGCGTCGGTTCCCTGGTTGTCCGCTTGGGCCAAGTGGGTTCCCAGTGGGAGGCCTCATAAGGGTTCCAGTGCGTGTCTTCAGAGTCCTTGGTGGCTTTTGGGGTGAGCTCAGCACGTTGCCATGCGAGCCTCGAAGTAAGCACAGCAAATCATCATTCGAACCATTTGACATACTGAAGCCGTGTGAGGTGAGCTCAGCACGCCACCATGCGAGCCACCAGCTCTGCAGAGGCTGCGCGCGTGAAAGGGAGTGGAAGGAAAGCGAAGAAGAGAGCCGTTACATAATGCATTGGAAGACGGGTCCAAGACGGCGTGAAGACGGCTCGGAGCCTTTCGGATAGGAATTTCAAGCTACGCAGACCATCGCGATGCATGTGCAGGATGGGTGGAAGTCCTGCTCGCTTAGTTAGCGGGGTATCCGGCCGAAGGTAATCCTCGGAGTTGTCGTACTCATACCCGTCCGTGAGGGTGCGGCGACAATCCTGGTAATCCAGATTCCCTCTGTGCGCAACCTTTCCTGCCATTGTCGTGCTGCCCTCTCTGGGGTTGAACCGCACTGTATTGATGCGCCCACGGCGTGCCTGTCTGTCGTCGGGTTCGACGCTGGCACCAAGGGAGCCATCGGTGAACAATCCAGTGTCGGCCAGGATAGGCATGGACTGAGTGTCTATAGGAGGCTGGCCACGTACTCGTGGCAGCTGTGGCTCCTTTCCCACGCGGGCCAGTAGCCGTTCTACAATCCGCTCCTTGGCCTCGCCTTGACCTGGGCTGTCGGTGGTGGACGGCAGCCAGAGTCTGACGAAGTGCACGAATCCGAAACGGCAGTGTTGAGGCTTGCGAGAGATGCCATCCTCTATGTACTTGAAGCATGTGTCATGGTGCTGATGGATGTGGCCGCTGAGGCTGCTGATGTTCCAGTGATCTTCTGCGAATGCAGCCGCATGAGCCGCAGCTTCGGCCTGCGTAGTCGCATCGTCGTGGGTGGCGGTCGCGAAGACCTGAGACCTCGCCGCGCAGCCGACGCATGGGCACGATGGTTGCGCTTCTGGGAGGATGCGGTAGTGCGGGAGCTTTGAAAGTGTCGCGCCTGTCAAAGGAAGGGCGCGTTCTCGAACTGGGGTGCCTGTGGTCGCGTCGTGCGGCGTCTGTGGGTAGCGTAGGACATGATGGTCGACGAAGGCGGGCGCTGGAGGAACCAGAAGTCGTCGCCTGGTAGGGTCCTCTCGGTCGCCCTCGAGGTCGCCGTCGAACTTGTCCTCGCGCTGCCACCTCTCAAGGTAAGGGGTGCTTTTGAGGGGTGGAGCCTCTGAGGCGTGGTCCACGAAGTGCAGTGGGACAGTAGCGGAAGATGTAATCTGTAAGGCCTCGACGGCTTGGAGCACAGCGCGCTGCCAACGTTGCAGAGTCGATCGCGCCTCGGCTGTGTCTTTGCGGAGGACGGAGCGCAACCATGATTGAGACGTTCGGTTGACGAAGTGGAACACCATGTGGGAATGCGTGCTCAGGCGCGCTTGATCCTCGATGGGGCCGCTCAACGATGCAATCATGTTCATCCCGCCTCCCACGGCGGAAGCTGCGTAACCGTCAGGAAAGACGACTCCGTTGGCTGTCCCATTGTGCTGGAGCAACTCGTCGAAGGGCCCAGTTCCCAAGATATGTTCACAGAACAATCGCATGCTGAACCGCGGACCCGGTACTGTCGGGCGCTCGGTGGCTTAGTGCAGACGGAGGAGGTGATAACGGCGAGGTGTAGGGAGGCCAAGGCGGAGGGGGCAATGAGGGGGCCAGGGTGGCGCTCGAAGGAGGTGGTTGGTGGGCTAGGTATTCCACGCGCTGGCCGTCTCCCGGCCTGCGGCCGAGTCGGTGCAGGGGTGAGAAGGGGTGGGGGGCCGGGGAAGCCACAGCCAGCGCTGTTTGACAGACGTGTTTGGGAATCGGCGATGCGGAGGGGGTCGGCGGAAGGTGCCGGAAGCTCGGAGATAATGAAGAACCTCGCTTGCGCAACAGGGTCTTTGGCGATTATTTCTAGCATCCTTTGCGCTGTTGGCATCGTTGGGTTCTCGTCGAGGAGAGAGATGGAATACCTTTCCGTGGCGCCGTCGTCATCGAGTCATGGAAGGGGAGGGGGCCTGACAACTGCTGAAGTGCGTGGAGGGTGGGCGTGGAGACGCTGGGGAGGAAAGTTTCTGGCAGGGAAGGCTTCCAGTTTTTCAGCGGTGCGGAGATGTGAGAGACATGGGGGAGAACCTAGGATGGGGGAGAGGGAGGGGCGTCTTTGAGCAGAAGTCGGTCCTCCGCAGGTGTGGTTGAGGGAACCGGCATGCAGGATCACCACTAAAGGGTTCCGGGTGTCCGCAACGTTCGGGGTGAGGAAGCCTCCTATGCCGCCGAATCGGAGCATGTCCCCCATCTGCTCGTGGCGAAGCTGTTGACGAGCACCCTCGGAACCGACAACGTCGCTGCTGAAGAAGAGGAGGTTGCGTACGGCCTCCCGCAACGAGGCGGGAGCGTTGTCAGAAAGCAAGCACTCACGGAATCCGGCTCTATCACCCATGGAGTCGAAAGCGGATCGGAGTTGGGTTCCCGTGGCCTGGCAGACGAGGTTGACGCTGGTTTGGAAACCTCTTCGTCGTACGTGGGCTCCGGCTTTGCGCGTGAGCTCCATCCTGCGCCAGGAGTCGTACAGGACGCATAGGAAGTCGAGATCGGCGCCCCAGCGTGGCTGGGCTGGTGGGACGAACGGCGTGGCTCCTCTGGCGCATTGCGCACACGGTCGAGCGCCGCGCTTTACAAGAGGGCAGTCACGTGGCAAAGTTTCTTGGACCTGATAGCGGAGCTCAGCACGTAGCAGGAGCATGCGACACCATTGCTGGAAAGACAACGGGCGGCGTCGGTCGATGCCGTAGACGCCATCCCCGTACGGAAACAGGTGGGGAAAGGCTTTTTGCCAAAATTCTTTGTCGTACATGGAGAGGGGCCGTTTGCCTGTAGGAATGACCCAAGTTCCGTCAGGGTGTTGCCGGGCGGCAGGCTCTCGGCTTTCTGCCGCTTCCATAGCCTGTAAAGTGCTGTCCAACTGCTTGCGGTATTCGTCAGAATTCAGGTATTTTGCCAAGGCCTGCAAAGACTCAATCTCGGTGGCGACGTCGGTTGTGGGTGCATATGTGGAAAGTTTGGAGGATAGGAGCTCGAGCTTGGCGGCGAACTCGCAAGCTGCTCGGTCAGCGTCCAGCGCACCCGTGGAGAAGTCGGTTGCGGCGCAGTGGAGGTTGACGTCGTCGGAGTCGGGGTGAAGTTCGTCGGTGGTCTCTGGGCGCACAGGCGGTGGTGCGGTGTCGGGGTCGACGTGGGGCGTCGGTCTGGCGGTAGGATCTTCCATGGCTCTCCCGTCCTCTGTGATGATGCTTTCTGGCACGGGGACTTCGGGTGCGTCGAGCGTGGCAGGTCCAGGGATGAGGTGCGGCGTATGTGTGGTGGCCTCTACGCGGGTGGCTTGTTGGAGAACCTCTGCGCAGCTGTGTCCTGCTTCTTGGAGTCGTCGTGCGGCTTCATTCTCGTCAATGTCGAGTGCGTGGTAAGCCTCCGAGTGCGCCACGCAGAAACGCACTGCCGTCATGTATGCTTCTCGAGGGACTTCAGCCCACGTAGCTTTATCCAAGTCGTCTACGGATGCGCCGGCAAGTGCGATGGAGAGGCCGTCGGCGAAGAACTGCTGAGAAACCTCGTGTTCGGCAGGTAGGGCTTGTGTCACGAGCTCTTTGGCGTAAGCCTGCGGGAAGCAAATTGAATTGCTACGCAGCCCCTTCTGCTTCGTGCGGGGATCTGCCTTCTTTGTCTTCTCGGCGATTATTTTCCGAACGAGCATGCGGGCGAGGGCGAGCACGGCGAACGTCATGGGGGACAGCTTCGCACCGTTTTTCCGGAATGCGACAGGTTCTCGCAATATGAGGTTGTCGTTAGCCAGAGCGTACCGAGGGAGGAGGGGCGTTTTCTTGGAGAGGTCGAGCCTGCAGCTAAGGCACGTGGGTATGGAGGGGAAGCGACCCTCGGAGTCCGGCTGCAGCGTGTTGTCCGGGAGCAGGCCGGGGCCACCGTCCATGGAGACAGGGATCGCTGTGGTGTCCAGTATCCAACGGCAGGCAGTACCGTCGGAAGCCGTGGCCCAAGGGTGCACGACGCTTGTGCCGTGAACCTCTGCTCGGGGCAGGGTGTGGTGGCCCCCTGATGATTCGGGAGCCCGCCATCGGTCCATGTAGGCATCTGCTGAGAGGAGGTCGTTGAGTTTGCGTGCGCGAGAGTGCACCTGGGCGGAGCCGCGTTGGACTTCACCATCATCGCCGTCGTAATCCTCGTCGAGGTCCGGGCGAGGCCCGTTTGTAGAGCCTTCGGCGGGCCGCGGGTCGAACAGCTCGAACTCTTCGAGGTCTTCCTTCCAGAATATCATGGCGCACACAGCGCAGCTGGATAGACCCCGCTCTTGGCCGCTGTGTAGTGGAAGGTCGTGGTCGATCTTGTGCGTTCCAGGGTAGCTGTGCGTCTGATGGCGTGCGTGCGCGCTGACGGCACGTCGGACTTCTTGTCCTGCGACAGGAAACGGGCCGTCACGCTCCTCGTAGTAGAAAACTCGCTTTCTGTACTCTTCCTCGAGGCGCACGGCCTCGAGTCCGGCAACACTGCAGTGAGCCTCGGGCAGGTGCTCGGTGAGGCCGCCATCCCCGAGTGGGGGGAGCGCGGGGAGCGAGTAAACCGAGACAAACAGCTACAAATCGGAGGGCATGTGCGTAGAAGGGGTGTGTCGCAGAAAGCAGGAGGGGGGTAACGAAGAGGCCTTGTGTATTTAGTGGGTGAGGTGGGCTTGCAGATAACACGAGGCGTGCAGGCGAGGGGGGGGCAGGAGTGGTACGAATGGAGTTGTGGCGGGGGGGTGGGGGGAAGCGGAGAAAGCCACACGCGTGCTGCATAACGAATCCTTGGAATCGCAGCCATGACCACAGAGGTAGCACGCGACGGGGGCGCCACAGAGTGGTAGGCGAGAGAAGGAATGCCGAGTGCCGTGGTCACGCAGGAGGTGGGCTGGAAGGTAGGAGTCGCAGATCGCCGTCTCAGTCCAGAGATCGCGGCCCAGCTGCCCTTCCCATTGCCGAATCTCCTCTTCGGAGAGCTGGGCTCGGAAGAGAACCTTGCGGTTCAGAGCTGGGTGGAATCTGTGCTGGTCGCCAAACCGAGCCTGTCGGGTGACTGCCAGTTGACGCGCCAGCTCCGCTTCATTGTATGCTTGATTTTGTCCCCGGTGGGTTCGAGCAGCAGGTAGCCTATGGTTCGCGTCTTTGAATGCGACAACATCGTCGAGCAAAGTGTCCTCTTCCCAGTCGAATGTCTCGGAGGTGTCGGGCAAGGAGTTCAAGAGGTCCACGGTGGTTTGCCACGCGGCACGCTCTTCTGGGGATAGTGGCGTCCTGGGTGTCCAAGATGAACCCATTCGGGGGATCTTCGTGCGGGCAGCAAGGGCGTGATGTAGACATTTGCGAAGTAGACGCTCCTGTCGAAGGTGTGGTTGGGGGGGGCGACGGTGGTCGTTGATGAAGTTGCGCAGTGCAATGGCCAAGTCTGTTTGGGAAAGCCTCGCGCACGTAGCTTCGCATATGAGGTCAGACCGGGAGGAATCCCGGGAAGACGTAAAGGATAAGCGGAGGGCGCTCCGGGCAGCCTCCTGGTGCAGAGTGTCGTAGGGGCATGTCCGTAAGGCTTGCAAATCGCCCGCTGTAATCGGCAGGGTGACGTAGAGCTCGGTGTCTGCAAGGATTTGTTTCGCACGTTGCCGACGATGTCTTCCCAGGTCGGCGGAGTCAATGTCATAGGCGAGGCACCGCGCGTCGAGGGCGGGGTCGAGCGCAACGTCGCTGTGCGTGGACTGCAAAGGGCAAGTGTCGAGAGCGAGCTGGAGTAAGGAAGGCCAGACGTCTGGATGTTGCTTAGCCCACTGCACGACGGCGGAGAGGCGGAGAGGTTGTTCCCAAATCGGGATGCGCAGCAGCAGGTCAACCTGATGAACGATCTTCTCGATGTACTCCTGTACGTGAGCGGCGCAGAGTTGCTTGTCGAAGGGTAGGCCGAGCGCTATGCACCAGGCTGTGATAGTGACAGGGGCGTCAGCGCGGGAGGTGTGGAGTTTCCACGTGGGCAGCCAGGCGCGCAAGTGTCGTTCCCAATCTTCCGGATGCTGGCGAGCCCATTGCTTGATGAAAGCCGCGTCGAAGTGGTGGGGCCACTGAGGCTCCGCTCGCAGTATGGCAGTTGCGTCGACGATTTGGTGGATGTACTGGGGCCTCAGATCGTTTCGGAAGCCTTTGAACGGAATGAGGAGGGCTGCGCACCAGTCCTCGATCGTAACCTCGTCGGGGCCTCTCTGCTTTCTCGCGGGTTTCCAGACGGACAGTCCGCGTCGTAACTGTGTCTCCCAAGTGGGGGGTGCATTGTGGGCCCAGTCTTGGATGAATGCGCGGGTGAGGAGAGGTGGCCACTGAGGCCAAGGCGGGTCGGGAGGGCCTGGAGGCTCGGCGTGCGTGGCAGGGGCACTGTATATCTTGGCGGCGGCTGCGACGATGCAGTCCGTCAGGCGTTGTCGGTGAGTCTCGTCGTAGCTGTGAAGAGGAATGTTCAGAGCGACGCACCAGTCTTCGACGGAGGTGTCCTTGGGTCCTCGCCGGTGGGATGCCATGGGGCACGCGGAGAGGGTGTGTCGCAATTTGAGTTCCCAATCAGACGTGTGCCGTCGCGCCCATGCGCGTATGAAACTGGTGGTGATGTCGGACGGCCATGCTTGCACGAGCGACCGAGCTGCCGTGAGAATGCGTTGCACGTACTCGGAGCGCAAGTCGTTGCGGAATCCTTTGAATGTGACGCCGAGGGCGATGCACCAATCTTCGAGTGTGATGTCCCTGCTGCCGTGCCGCTGTCTCTTAAAAGGGCTCCATGCCTGTAGGCCCGACTCCAGGGTCGCTTCCCAGGCGTTCCCTTGAGACGCGATCCATGTGGTGATGAAGTCGGTGGTGAGGTGGCGAGGCCATCTTGTTTGGGGCGTGCGTTCCGCAGGCGAGCTTGGTGGAAGTAGGCGCGCTGCTGTGAGGATCCGTTGCACGTACTCGGAGCGCAGGTCGTCGTTGTACCCCTTGAAGGGCACCCCCAAAGCGATGCACCAATCTTCGAGTGCGATGTCAGTGCTGCCGTTTCGCTGCCTCTTTCGAGGGCTCCATGCTTGTAAGCCCGACTCCAGGGTCGCTTCCCAGGCGTCTCCTTGAGACGCAATCCATGTGGTGATGCAGTCGGTAGTGAGGTGTCGAGGCCATTTGGTTGGAGTCGTGCGTTCCGATGGCGAGCTTCGTGGAAGCAGGCGCGCTGCTGTGAGGAGCCGTTGCGCGTACTCGGAGCGCAAGTCATTGCGATACCCTCTGAAGGGCACTTCGAGGGTGATGCACCAGTCTTCCACGGTAATGGTGGTGAGGCCCTGACGCTGGGCTTTACGGGGCTTCCATGTTTGCAGACCCGTTGTCAGAGACGATTCCCAATTGTCGCCATGAGTCGCAATCCAATCCGAAATGAAGGCCTTGGTGAGTGTGCGCGGCCAACGCGTCGACGAAGGCATGTGTGCTCGGGGTATGGCGATGCAGGAATGTCGCCAGACGTGAAACACATTGCAGCAGGCCTTGGGTGCGCGCGCCCGGTCGGATCCAAGTGGCGACGGATCCTGGGGGCTCCAGGGAGGCCATGGGGCCATGGGGCAACGTGAAAGTCATGTTGGGGGCATGTTGCACCGCAGTCCGGAGAGAAAGGTAGCGGGAGGAAAGATGGTGCGTCTTGGAGGTGAGCTGAGCACGCGACCATGCGAGGGACGAGGTGAGCTCAGCACGTTCCCATGCGAGCCACCACCGGCAGGCCGGAGAGAAAGGCAGCGGAGAAAAAGATAGTGCGTCTTGGAGGGGAGCTCAGCACGCGACCGTACGAGTGACGAGGTGAGCGCAGCACGGTCCCATGCGAGCCACCGGCGGGGGGAGGGTGTCGCGGGTGCACATGGCGGGCGAGGCAAGGGAGTCGGAGGGCCCTGGGAGGCCCCTGGCGGCCTCGGGTATGGTGAGGGGGTGTGTAGGGAACGTTTATAAGGAAAAGGGTCCCCCAAAATCGACGGTACGTGTTGGAGGTGGGGAGCGCACGCGACCAAGCGAGGCAGGACGTGAGCTCAGCACGTGTCCATGCGAGCCACATGGAAGGGAGGGGGGGAGCTCAGCACGCGACCATGTGAGTCACGAGGTAGGCTCAGCACGTTTCCATGCGGGCCACAGGAAGGGAGGGGGCGCGATGTCGCAGGACGGGCGAGAGGATGGAGTTTGGGGGATGTGGAGGTCCTGGGGGCTCTCGGGTTGTGCTGGAGGTTTTGTCGGGCACGTGTCTGACTGTATGAGGACTGAATTGGACGACCTGCGGCGTGAGTCTCCTGGGGTCCTCGGGTTTCGTGGGAGGTTGTGCCGGGCGCGCTTCTGAGGAGAAGGTGGCCCCAAAAAACGGCGGTACGTGTTGGAGGCGGGGTCTCTTCGGGCGGGGAGCCCGAACTGTCGGTCCCTGCCCCCCCTCTGGGGGCTCTCTTGAGGCGTCCCTGGGTCCTTCTGAAGCCGTCTTGGAAGGCTGCGAGACCCAGGGAAGGAAAGCAGAGGATGCCTACATGGTGCACTATGTTGGTTCCCTGGTTGTCCGTTTGGGCAGTTGGGTTCCGGCGGAAGGGTTCGCGAGGCTTGCTGGGGCCTTCTTCAGACCGTCGTGAGGGGCCTTCGGGGTGAGATTAGCGAGATGCCATGCGCGAGGCGAAGTGGGCGCAGGACGGGGCCATGCGAGGCCTCAGAAGAACTCGGGTTTGGTCAGGTAGCGCGCTGGAAAGGGCGAAAAGAACGATTTGTGGGAGTTGGCCGAGAGGTGATTGGAACGAGATGCGAGACCCATGGAAATAAAGAAGAGGATGCCTTGATGGTGTACTATGTTGGTTCCGTGGTTGTCCGTTTGGGCAGTTGGGCTCGGAGACATAGTAGGTGAGCTCAGCACGCGACCATGCGAGCCACCGGGTTTGGAAAGGATGTGCGCAAGAAAAGATGACAGAAGGAACACGAGCGTGAGTGGAGCACGTTGCCACACAACGCAGTCTGGGGGACTGGTGGGAACTTGACTGGGGGACTTGTGGGAACTTGACATTTCGACTGGGGCTTTTCTGGCCAAGCTTCCTGAATGAAAAGGTATCCAAAAAAGGACGGTGCATCTCGGAGCGGATCTCAGGACGCCACCCTGGGGCCCTCTTGAGGCAGTGTCGGGGTCCGAGGCGAAGTGTGCAGAGGACGGGGCCATGCGAGGCCTTAGGGAAACTTTGGTTTGGTGAGGTAGCGCGCTGGAAAGGGGAAACAGAACGCTTCGTGGGAGTTGGCCGAGAGGTGATTGGAAAGAGATGCGAGACCCACGGAACTAAAGAAGAGGATGCCTTGATGGTACACTATGTTGGTGCCCTGGTTGTCCGTTTGGGCAGTTGGGCTCGGAGACATAATAGGTGAGCTCAGCACGCGACCATGCGAGCCGCCGGCTTTGGAAAGGATGTGCGCAAGAAAAGATGACAGAAGGCGCACGAGCGTGAGTTGAGCACGTTGCCCGTGAACGCTTTCTGGGGGACTTGTGGGAACTTGAAATTTCGACTGGGGCTTTTGTGGCGAAGCTTCCTGGATGAGAAGGTATCCAAAAAAGGACGGTGCATCTCGGAGCGGAGGTCAGGTCCCGGGGCCCTCTTGAGGCAGTGGGCGCTGCTAGGGGCTTCCTGGAGGCTTCTGGGGGCTTCCCCGAGGCGTCTTGCGGCCACTATGTTGGTTCCCTGGTTGTCCGTTTGGGCAGTTGGGCTCGGAGACATAGTAGGTGAGCTCAGCACGCGACCGTGCGAGCCACCGGCTTTGGAAAAGGATGTGCGCAAGAAAATATGACAGAAGGCACACGAGCGTGAGTTGAGCACGTTGCCCGTCAACGCTTTCTGGGGGACTTGTGGGAACTTGAAATTTCGACTGGGGCTTTTGTGGCGAAGCTTCCTGGATGAGAAGGTATCCAAAAAAGGACGGTGCATCTCGGAGCGGAGGTCAGGTCCTGGGGCCCTCTTGAGGCAGTGTGAGGGCCCTCTTGGGCGCTTCTAGGGGCTTCCTGGAGGCTTTTGGGGGCTTCCTGGAGGCGTCTTGCGGCCTCTTGGAGGCTCTTCGGGGCCTCCTGGGGGCCTCTTGGTGTCTCCTGGGGGTCTCTTCGGGAGGGGGGCCCGAAATGTCGGAACTAAAGAAGAGGATGCCTTGATGGTGCACTATGTTGGTTCCCTGGTTGTCCGTTTGGGCAGGTGGGCTCGGAGACATATTTGGTGAGCTCAGCACGCGACCATGCGAGCCACCAGGTTTGGAAAGGATGTGCGCAAGAAAAGATAACAGAAGGCACTTGGAGTCTCTTCGGGGCCTCTTGGGGGCCTCTTGGTGACTTCTGGGGGGAGCCCGAAATGTCGGAACTAAAGAAGAAGATGCCTTGATGGTGCACTATGTTGGTTCCCTGGTTGTCCGTTTGGGCAGTTGGGCTCGGAGATATATTAGGTGAGCTCAGCACGCGAACATGCGAGCCACCAGGTTTGGAAAGGATGTGCGCAAGAAAAGATGACAGAAGGCACACGAGCGTGAGTTGAGCACGTTGCCCGTCAACGCTTTCTGGGGGACTTGTGGGAACTTGAAATTTCGACTGGGGCTTTTCTGGCCAAGCTTCTTGGATGAAAAGGTATCCAAAAAAGGACGGTACATCTCGGAGCGGAGGTCAGGTCCTGGGGCCCTCTTGAGGCAGTGTCGGGGCCCTCTTGGGCGCTTCTGGGGGCTTCCTGGAGGCTTCTGGGGGCTTCCTGGAGGCGTCTTGAAGCCTCTTGGAGGCCTCTTCGGGGCCTCCTGGGGGTCTCTTCGGGCGGGGAGCCCGAAATGTCGGTGCCTGCCTCCCCCCTGGGGACTCTCTTGGGGCGTTCCTGGCACCTTCTGAGGCCGTCTTGGAGGCGACTTGGGCCGTCTTGGGGGCTTTTTGGGCCGTCTGGGTGCTCTCTTGGGGGCCGCTTACGCCGTCTTGGAGCGATCTTTGTGGCCTCTTGGGTCGTCTTGGAGTGCGGGAAACCGAACAGGCGAGAACACGAAAAACGTCGAAAAACCTTTGGAAAAGTAATGAATTTTGACTCTTGGGGCTCTCCCGGGGAGCCTCTTGGAGGCCTCCTGGACCGTTTTGGGGGCTCCTTGGGCGTCTTGGGCCGATCTTTCGGCGACTCGAGGCCCTCTTGGACCGTCTTGTGGATCATCTTGGGGCCGTACGTGCCTCCCGGAAGCGCGTCTACAAAAATGGTGCAGCATGGTGCCGTGTTCGGCCGTCTTCCGCCGGCGTTCCGCCCGTGGCCGGGGCCCTGTCCGGGGGGGTCCCCCCCCAGACCCCCCCAGGGGGACACACAACGGGAACCCCTCCGCCAGGTCGGGGAAAAATAGTAAAAATTTAGTCTGGTGACTATTGCTTGACTACTTTGGAGCATTTTTGGAGCATGTTTGGGGTATTTTTCATTTCTCGCCCACAATCCCCTTGTAATTAGGGGGCACGCCCGACTTCACAGTACGGTGCCGATTTGTTCGTGCTCTTTTTGGTGACTACTCTGCGCTTCCCTGCAAGACATCCCCCTGCAGGAGGACGCGCCCGACCCAACGAGGTTCCCGGTCTGCCCTCCTCCGAGCGTTGCCCTCCTGCCGCCCTCGGCCCGGGCGGGGCGCCGCGGGAATCGAGGCGCCGCCCCGAGGGCTGGAGCGCCGCTGGGAAGCGACGAGGGCGTCCGAGAACTTGGGGCACCGAGCCTCGAAGCCTCCTCCTCCTCCTCCTCCTCCTCCTCCACCTCCTCCCGTGAGGTCAAATTCTGATTTCGCCCTGGGCCGAAATCCCGCTTAGTCCGGCTTGATCCCGCTTAATCCCGCTTAGTCCGGCTTGATCCCGCTTAATCCCGCTGAATCCGGCTCAATCCCGCTTCATCCGAGGCCCTTTCCGGCGTAACAGCTGCCAAATGGGGTTTAATCCTCCTTAGACTTTCCGACGAAAGCCTCCCAGCAGTTGCCTCCGTCCCCACCTACTTCGAAGGAGACAAACGCCAGGAAACCTCGGGCCTCGAACCTCGCAGCCTCGCGCCCATCCCTCGCCCACCAATTTCGAAGAAGACAAACGCCAGAAAACCTCGGGCCGCGAACCTCGAAGAGCCTCACGCCCATCCCTCCCCCGCCAACTTCGAAGAAGACAAACGCCAGAAACATGAACTTTGGGCGCTCCGCGCGGACCTCTTGGATCCGCGCTGGGCCCCCCCCGGCGGCGCCTCCAGCGCCGCCCCCGGCGCGCTCCGCTCGCCAGGGGGTGGTCCAGCGCCGTTCCAAGAAATCCGAGGGGAGCGCCAACAGTTTTATTTCATGGCGTTTCTTCTTTTCCTACTGACGCACGGCTCACTTTGGTGCCTCCGACTCGATTCGATTCGAGCTCGGTCGCGTCCGAATCCGATTCGCTTCGACTTCGGACTCCGATTTGGACTCCGGTTTCTCCACGAAGGCTTTCGTAGCCTGCCGATTTGCCGCCGACTCGACTTCTCTCGACTCGGCAACCGATCTCCGCCGATCCGATTCCACTTCTGTCGACGATCGGACTTCTCGATCCGAGTCTGGGCTATATCCCCCCCTTAAAGTTGAGTCGGGCATGCCCCCCTCTACAGGAAGAGCATTCACGAATGGTACAAGAATGGTTCTTGGACGAATTTTGTCTGGCCTATTTCCCAACCATCCTGTGGTGTTGGGTCGTCGTTTTGAAGAGACAGCGCCCCGCGTCCCACCTCCTCCCCCTCCTCCCCCTCCTCCCCTCCCATCACCATCATCATCATCCCCTCCCTCTCCCCACACCATCGTCGAGCTCCACCGACGGCCCCAGTGGGGGTGCCCGCATGCGTCCCCCCCACCCAGGACAGCGTTTCGTGGGCCCACAGGGAGCTTCACCGAAGGCTCCCGTGGCGGTGTTCGCATGCGTCCCCCCTACCCAGGGCAGCGTTTCGTGGCCCCATAGAGAGCTCCACCGAAGGCCCCATTGGGGGTGTTCGCATGCGTCCCCCCCACCCAGGACAACATTTCGTGGCCCCATAGGGAGCTCCACCGAAGGCCCAAGTGGGTATGTTCGCATGCGTCCCCTCCACCCAGGACAGCGTTTCGTGGCCCCACAGAGAGCTCCACCGAAGGCCCCCGTGGGGGTGTTCGCATGCGTCCCCCCACCCAGGACAGCCAGCGTTTCGTGGCCACATAGGGGGCTCCACCGAAGGCCCCCGTGGTGGTGTTCGCACGCGCCCCCCCCGCCCAGGACAGCGCTTCGTGGCCCCATAGGGAGCTCCTAGCGCCACCGAAAGCGATATTCATATTTGCGGTATTCACAATTGCATATGGTTGGGTCCTTCGCCAGGCTAATTTTGAATATTTGTTGACTATTCTTCCTCTTTCCTCCAAAGTCCGCCTGCAGGGGGACAGGCCCGACCGAACACTAACGCTGCCCCTCGCTGGAGGTGCGCTTCCCCGACGGTGCGGGCGCGGCGCTCGCCGACGGGGCAGCCGCCGACGGCGGCAGCCAGCGAGGTGGCGAGCGAACAGCGCACGCCCATGCCCACGGAGGGCACGGACAGACAGACAGACAGACAGAGGCCCGGTCAAACCACATGGGCTTGCCCGTGCACTCCGAGGAGGAAAAGTACACATACCTCTACCCTTCGCCCGTTTCCCCCTTTTTGGGCCTCCTGGGAGTCCCTCGTCGCCACCGCTGGATTCGCCTCGAATCCTGGTCGGAACGCACTCCTGGAGAGGTCCGGGGAGTAGCGGTGTCGATGCCTTTGGCTTCCCCGTAAACGGGCGAGGCTGCAGCGCAGTGGCCTGAACGAGCACGCGCGCAAAAGGGAGACCGAGCATTGTGCCTCCGAGAGGGAGAGGTGGGGAGAGGAGGAGCGCAGGGGCGGTCCTCACGAGGAGAACGGGGGCGGTCCTACTCGCATCGGGTGGAGGTACTGGGAGCGAAGTCGGCCCAGTATACTCCGCGCTCGGACGGCACGGAGGGAGTTATGGTCAGAGGACCCAGACCCCTCGAGTCATGAAATTATCCTGTCGAAGGACCCAACCAGATGCAGTTGTGGGTACCGCAATTGTGAATATCTTCTTCGGTGGAGCTCGCTATGGGGCCACGAAGCGCTGCACTGCGTGGGGGGGACGCATGCGGGCGGTAGCACTGGAGCCGTCAGTGGAGCTCCCTCTGGGGCCACGCAACGCTGTACTGGGTGGGTGACGGTGTAAAATCCGGTTTTCGGGGCGCATGAGGACGGTCCCACTGGGGGTTTCGGTGGAGTTCCTTATGGGGCCACGCACCGCTGTACTGGGTGGGTGAACAAAATGCCGAATTGGGTGTGTGGGATACATGCGGGCGGTCCCACTGGGGGCTTCGGTGGAGCTCCCTAGAAACCCTGTACTGGGTGGGTGAAAATGCCAAATTCGGTTTCCGGGACGCATGCGGACAGTCCCACTGGGGGCTTCGGTGGAGCTCCCTATGGGGCCACGAAGCGCTGCACTGCGTGGGGGGGACGCATGCGGGCGGTAGCACTGGGGCCGTCAGTGGAGCTCCATATGGGGCCACGCAACGTTGTACTGGGTGGGTGACAGTGCCAAATTCGGTTTTCGGGGCGCATGCGGACGGTCCCACTGGGGGCTTCAGTGGAGCTCCCTATGGGGCCACGCACCGCTGTACTGGGTGGGTGAACAAAATGCCAAATTGTGTGTGTGTGTGTCTGTGTGTGTGTGTGTGTGATGCATGCGGGCGGTCCCACTGGGGGCTTCGGTGGAGCTCCCCAGAAACACTGTACTGGGTGGGTGAAAATGCCAAATTTGGTTTTCCGGACGCATGCGGACAGTCCCACTGGGGGCTTCGGTGGAGCTCCCTATGGGGCCACGAAGCGCTGGTATGTGAAAATGCCAAATTGGGTTTGTGGGACGCATGCGGGCGGTCCCACTGGGGGCTTCGGTGGAACTCCTGATGGGGCCACGAATCGCTGTGCTGGGTGGGTGAAAAGGCAAATTTGGGCGTGTGGGATGCATGCGGGCGGTCCCACAGGGGGCTTCGGTGGGGCTCCCTTTGGGGCCACGAAGCGCTGTACTGGGGGTGGGGGGGTGAAAATGCAAAATTTGGTTTTCAGGACGCATGCGGACGAGGGAGGAGGGGGTCACGAAACGCTGTACTGGGTGTGCGGGACGCATGCGGGCGGTAGCATTGGCACCTTCGGTGGGGCTTCCTATGGGGCCACGGAGCGCTGTACTGGGTGGGGTAAACGCAGGGAGGAGGGAGGAGGGGGAGGAGGAGGAAGAAGAGGAGAGGAAGGGGAGGAGAGGAGCACGGGGACCGTTTCTTCAAAACGAGGACCCAACACCACAAGATGGTTGGGAAAAATCGAGACATAAGGTCTTCCCTTATGGGAGAGGTCTTATGGCCGGTGCCGCCGACCCTGAACGACTACGAGGAGGACGATGCTGACGTGGGTCAGAGTCCCCGGGGATGCTTCTTGGTTATTTTTTCGGGGCGCTCTCGGGGGCCGCTGGGGGGTAGTTTTGGTGCCTCTTGGGGGCTTCTTGGGGGCCTATTGGGAGGCTCCCAGGGGCTTCTTGGGGCTTGCTGGGGTCCTCCTGGGGGTCTCTTGGAGGCGTCTGGGGGGCTTCGTAACGCTTCCTAAGAGCCTCGCAGGCCGAGGGCTCGAAATGTCCGTTCGGTTCCCCCGTCTGGGCACTCTTGCAGTCGTCTTGGGATCTCTTGGGCCGTCTTGGAAGCCTCTTGGGCAGTCTTGGGGCCCTCTTTGGTCGTTTTGGAGCCCTCTTGGAGGCCTTTTGGGCAATCGTGGGGCGATCTTGGGGGCCTCTTGGACCGTCTCTCGGAGGGTCGGGAAGCCGAAACGGCGAGAATCCCCACATCTACCAAACACCTTGGGAGCATCAGTGTTTTTTACCTCCTGGGGCCCTCTTGGGAGTGCTCTTGGAGGCCGCTTGGGGCGTCTTGGAAGCCTCTTGGGTCTGGAGGCTGCTTTGGAGTCTTGGACCCACCATTCTGAGATTCGGGGCCCTCGCGGACCGTCTTAGGGGCCTCCTGGCAGTCTTGGTTTGTTTGAAAGAGCGTGTTCTACCGCTGCTGGCGGAAAACCGGGGGGGGTCACTTCCGGTTCGAACCCCTCCCCCCCCCCCCCCCCCTCTGGGAAAACCGGGGGGTCACTACCGGTTCGAACCCCTCCCCCCCCCCCCCAGCTCATCATGAAAAGGGGGGGGGTCACTACCGGTTCGAACCCCCCCCCCCCCCTCGAAAACCGAGTGGGGGTGCGGACAGAGGTGGGGACGGTGTTGGTGGGACAGTGGTGAGGGGACAGCGGGACAGTGGTGGGGACAGTGGGACAGTGGGACAGTAGAGGGCCGGTAGTGGTGGGGACAGTGGTGGGGACAATGGTGGGAACAGGGGGGACAGTGGACAGTGGTGGGGACGGTGGTGGTGGGGACAGTGGTGTGGGCACAGTGGGAATGAGGTGGAAACAGTGGGACAGTGGAGGGTACAATGGTGGTGGGGACAGTGGTGAAGGCGGTGGCGAGGACGGCGGTGGGACAATGGGACAGAGGTACAGTGGGGACAGTGGTGGGGACAGTGGGAACAGTGGTGGGAACAGTGGGACAGCTCAGTGGGACAGCGGCGGAGTCAGTGGGACAGTGGGGACTGGGGATAGTCGGGCAGTGGTTGGGGCCGTGGAGACAGTGGGGAGAGTGGAACCGTGGTGGGAACAGTGTGGTGACATGTGGGGAAACACAGTGCGACAGTGTGTGGGGGCACTGGTGAGTGGTGGGACAAGTGGGACAGCTGTGGTGAGGACAGTGGTGCTGAACAACATGGAGATGACAGCGCGACGGTGGTAGGACCGGGAGTCGTTTGCTGGCGGTGAGAGGGGGGTGGGGAGGGGTTCGAACCGGTAGTGACCCCCCCCCTGTGGTTTTCGAGGGGGGGGGGGTTCGAACCGGTAGTGACCCCCCCCCGGTTTTCTAGGGGGGGGGGTTGCGAACCGGTAGTGACCCCCCGGTTTTCGAGGGGGAGGGGGGTAGAGGGGGGGGGGGGAAGGGGGTTAGGGGGGGGGTTTTGGGGCCGGGGGAGGGGGGGGGGGGTGGGGATAGGGTTCCAGCAGGTGGGGGGGGGATTTCGGAGAGGGGGGGGGGCGACCCCCGGGTTCCGGAGGAAAAGGTTGGCAATTTTCCACAGTAAAGCGGCGGTGGATCACGCTCTCTCGTTTGTTTCGGGGGGGTGGGGGCTTTGAATCAAGGGAGGAAAAACCACCCAGACCGGATAATTGGCGTTTACTAAACGGCCTTGGGCGTTTACTGAACAGCCCTGCCTTGCTCGATTCCTTCTTTGGGCGTGTTTATTAAACGGCTTCGCGTGTATCACGGTGGTTACTATCAGGGTGGATTTGTTTTGCCCCCGATGGAGCCCCCCCCGGGGGCGGCATGCTGACCCGGAACTTGCCCCAGGTCCCTCCCGGGACCTCTGCTGGCCCCCCCGCCCCCCGGGACCCCTCCCTCCCCCATATCCCCCCCGCGGCGGGGGAGGGATCAAATGGAAGGGGCTCCCATGTGACTCAACTACACATTGCTCATTCTCAATTTTTCGAGAGTTCTTTGGTTTTTTTTGGGGGGCAACGATTCTTTCATTTCGAATTCTTCTATCCTGGGCCCCTTCCTGGCCACTAGGGGGCCAGGAACAATTAGAAACGAGCACAATTAGAAATGAGCACGATTAGAGATGAACGACGTGTACGACCATGCTGGTTCATTTCGCTTTGGCTGGCGCGCTTGAGGAGGGCCCAGGGAAAAGAGCGGCGGCGGCGGCGGCGGCGTTAGCGGCGGCGGCGGCGGCGACGACGACGACGACGACGACGACGACGACGACGACGACGACAACGACGACGACGACGATTACGACGACGACGACGAACGGAAGAGCGTCTTTCACACGCCGACAGGGTCTGCGGATTTTCAGCCTCGGGGGACCCTCACCTGGCCCCGGGACAGTGAACAGAAACGACTCATGATGAAAACTTGTCCCAGTGAATGGGTCGAGACCTGGTGGGGTCGACGTCGTGGAAACGTCATGACGTCGGGGGCCTGGGGAGCAACAGGTCATGATCATGAAAAGAGCACGTTCTTGGACGCTGGGAGGGGTAGTCGAACAAGGCCCTCCCCGTGAAGTGCAAGGGCGGGGGGGTGGGGGGCCAGGCGCTTCAAATATTCTAGGGCCCCCCCCCGCGGTTCCGACTTGTCCAGGGTCCAAGGTTCCTAGGATGTCCCAGATCCACCCGTGATCCGCACGGGCTCCAGACACGGGGGGGCGCTATGGACTCCTCGAAGATCCTGCAGAGCACCGTGAGCCAATAGGATCACGACAGCGTGCTTGTCCTGCAGGGGGGAGGTCTGTTGGATGTGCCCCCCCCTCTCGAGAGGGAGCCTCCGCTGCGGTCCGAGAGCCAGCACCCGATGCCTTCTTTCCTGGACTCAGCCGCATGCACAGTGCAAACTGCGTGCTGCCAGCACGGCCCTCCGTAGGGCCTCTGGGGCAAGTGACTGCGGAGGGGGGGGAGCGCTGCTGCTGCAAACCCGTCTCTCCCACCTGTGCTACAACTGTGTGCGCAGCATTTTTTAAAGAAGCGGAACTCATACCGATCTTCACATGATGCTCGAATTTATCACTCGATGCTCAACACACAGACCCACAGCCAGTTCCCATCCCTCTGACCCCCCTTTGGGTATAGGTGTGTGCTGCTCGTCCGTCACGAGGGGGCTCCTTCCGAGGGGCGCTCGTCGCCGAGCTGCGCGCGCACCACGCGGGCGAGCGCGGGCGTCAGGCTGGGGAGGCCCGGCGCTGCCAGGAGGCCGTGTTTTCGCTGCAGGCGCCCGTTTTCTGTGCTCTCCCTGGCGATCGACTTGGGCCCAGACCTCCGACGATATCCACCAGCCGGGAACTTCTCCCTGCCCCTAAGACTGGAAAGCCCAAGTGCGATAACAACCTTAGCGGTGCGTCCTCGGAAAATGAAGGGATCCCCAGCATCGGCGTCGGGATGAGATGATGCAACTCACAGAGTCAGGATTTGCTTCAGGCTGGTAGATCTGTTTCATTAAACCTGGGCGCTTTTCCTCGATTTCGGCCTCGGGGGCCCGTTGTATGGCCTCGGGGCCACCAAACAGGGATCTGGCGCGAAGCGTTATTCCAGGGGAAGGGGTCGGGCTGCACATTTCGGGTGTTGCGGGAGGCGTAGTTACGGTTCTGCTGGTCCCTGGGCGGTGTTCTCGCTTCGGGATGCTCTTCCGCAGCTGCGCCTCGTCGAGAGCTTTCGGGGGGGGCCCCGATCGTCTCGAGCGGCCACTGATGGCGCGAGTGATGACCAGAAGCTACCAGGCGTCGAGGGGGTGTGGGGAGGGACGCTGGCCGGGGGGGCAGGCCGGCATGACCCCCCACACCGCCCCGCTCCGCCGCCAGTTCAAGCAGCGCTGGGCGGAACAGGTGTGCAAGCGAGTTCCGGCGTGCGTGAAGTCCAGATTTCCCCTCGGGCCTCGCCACGCCCCCTCGCACCTCCCTTCCGTGCAAGTGAACTTGCCGGCGTCTAGTGCAAAGCTGCCTCTATTTCATGTTCGCCACACGACCAAAGGTCTTGCGGGAAACAGTTCTGACGTTTTCCGCCGTTTCCTTTGGTGACTCGGACAGAAATCTGGTCCTGGGGGAAGGCCGGGGGGGCCAGGACCTGTTCCCCTCGGGATCCGCTTGTTTCATGCCGAAGGGTCATGTTGCGTCCGGGCGAGCAATGTCCGAGCGCGTCTGCTGGGCGTTTTGCCGAGTGTGACCGGCGCATGGGTTCGGGTATAGCAAGTCAGTGCAGGGTGTGGCCGGGGTGCTGGCTGGAATGAAGAAAACTGATGCTGGCGCTTGGGCGTCCTCATCGAACACTCGCGCCGGGTGTGGGAAGTGCTGAGGCCCCAGTCCAGGAAATTGTGGTGGCTGTTGCTGGCGATGGCTTCCAGTGTAGAAGACTCGCGCCGGGAATCGGCACGAGTCTGCTTTTTGAGCCGCTTATGCCTGCCTGAACCATCTAGATCGGAAGCCCATGTGGCATGATGGGGGAGGGCGGGAGAGGGATTGGAGGAGGAGGAGGAACAGGAGGAGGCGGAGGAGGAGGAGGAGGAGGAGGACACAGATGGAATAGAGGAACGGGGTGCGCGAGGCTGTGGGCTGAAGAGGCGGAAGGTAGTGATGGAGAAGATACTTGCCGATCTCGATCACAGCCACGAGGGCGTACTGCGCTCATAAGTCTTTCACAGCATTGTGGTTCACACAGGATCTTTGGTTACCTCGGGGCATGCTGTGTTTGCATGCTTATGCTCTGTACGTAGTGTTTCTTGCCATTTCCCTCCCCGGGCAGCAAACCCCGCTCCTACGAACGTGACCGAAACTCTCACGATCACCTCGGCGCCCAGTGGAGGAGGACGCCAACTCCAGCGCCTACGCCTACGCCAGTGCCGATGGCGAAGCGTACGCCAGCACCGACGCTAGCGTTAACGCTGGCGTCTACACCAGCGCCGACGCCAGCACCAACGCCAGCACCAACACTGGCACCTGCGCCAGCACCAACGCCAGCGCCTACACTGGCACCAGCACCAGCGCCTACGCCAGCACCAACGCTAGTATCAACGCCTGCGCCTACACCAGCGCAGACGACAGCACCTACGCCAGCACCAACGTCGGTGTTTTAAGTCGAAGCCAACGCCGGCGCCTACACCAACATCGACGCCAGCACCGACGCCAGCACCTACGCCGGCGCCCACGTCAGCGCCGACGCCAGCACCGTCGCCAGCATCAACGCCCGCGCCTACGCCGGCCAGCGCCGACGCCAGCACCGACGCTGGCACCAACGCCTGCGCCTACGCTGGCATCAACGCAAGCGCCTGCATCAGCATAGACGCCAGCACCGACGCCAGCACCTACGTCGGCGCCTTCGCCCGCGCCGACGCCACCACCGACGCCGGAGTCAACGCCTGCGCCTACGCTTGCACCTACGCGACCACCACCTACATGGAGTACAACTTGCTGATTACCCCGAATCAGACTTGCCACGACAATTGCTACGACTCCCGTCGCACTGGGGGCTTCGTGATGTCACGGAATACCCGCCTGGAAGCGTCACGGTTTTTGCCTTCGCCCTGTCTTAACGCTCGCTGTCCTGCGTCGAAGCGCACGCCGTGAACAGCACGGCGGGTACCACGAGCACCACGCCAGATACCACGCCGGCGCCTACGTCGGCATCGACGCCAGCTATTGCACTGGCCTCGACACCTGCATCTGCGCCAGTACCAATGCCAGCAATTGCGCCAGCACCGAGGCCGACGCCGGCGCCTGCGACGGCAATAGCGCCAGCGTTTGCTTTTGCGCTTGCGCCAGCACCAACTCCAGCGCCTGCACCGGCGCCTGCGCCTGCGCGGACCTTAACACCAGCGCTTGCCTCGGCCCTGCACCTGCTTCAGCTCCAACGCCAGCACCTCCGCCAACACCGACGCCAGGCACCAGTGCGACTTGGGCGACAGCAGCGCAGCCCAGCCCAGCAGCCGCAGATGCCGCTGCCTATGCAGCCTGAGGACGGCTTGGGTCCTCAAGCCTGCCATTTTGGGGTGCGGGTTCTGCCTGGAAGTGCTGGGGTCGCTCCTTGGCGGGGGATGGGTTCAAGTCTCCGGCAGGTTCCCTGACGATCTGCTCTCAGGATAACCCTGAGGCTTTTTAGGCATGATGCCTGGCGGCGCCATGAACACCACGATGGAATCACACACGAAGCAGGACGAGTCGTAGGTCTACGAGCTGGGCTGAGGGGCAAGCAGGGACACGTCGGCCACCACGAGTTCGACGAGTGGCTTCATTACTGGCAGCACGACGACGCTGAGCGTCGAGACCATGACGGCCACAAATCCTGGTGATGCGATGGCCACCGTGAGATCGGCGATTGGATCCAGTACTGGCTGCATGACGACGCCGAGCCGCACGGCCAGTACGGCCAGAAGCTACAGGAATACGACGGCCACCACGAATCCACAGAATAGTTAACGTTGGTACTAACGGCTCGGACCTGTACTTACGACGGGGTCTGGCTTTACGACGTGGCCCAGCACGGCGGCGAGGAGTGAGCCAGGGAGGGCTGTCTGCCAGGTTTACAGTTCTACCCCTCTTTCCCTTCCTCCTCCCCGTTCACCGGTCGCCTGCAGTCTCTTTTCGTTTGCATACGTTTGTTTTGTCAATTGTTGGGCTGGGGGCCCATCGTTTGCACGTGCCGGAACCCTCCATCGGTCGCCGGCGGGCCACCCAAGCCACTGCGCTGGGCTTGCCCCCCCGCGCTGGCCCGTGCGTGGCACGATACCGCCACGCTGCTTCGTTATATGTATACATATATATATGTATATGTATATATATATATATATTCTGCTTCATCAGGTGTTCCTTGCACTGTATTCTGGCTGTGTCTCTCTAGGTTGTTCTCGCGGGGGTTTCGGTGTGGGCGCCGTCCATTCAGTTCGGCCTACGCGCGCGCGCGCGAGTTTACTCTCTGTGTCCGCCTTTTTCCTCTTCCGCCTTGTCTTCCTTTCGGGCCCGAGTCCGGGGCTACTGACAGCTTTTGCTTGCATTGTGCTGCGAAAGGCTGGTCCTGGGTAGTGTACCACGCCATAGTATTGCCAGACCTCGGTCTTCCACCCCTGGTCCTCCTCGTCCCGTTTGATGCACCTGGCGTCTTTGCTTGAAGGCTGTTTTGATTGCTCTTCACACGGGCGGGTGCGAGTGGGCAGTTGCAACGTGCTGCTCCGTCTCACGCTGCGGCACAGTCATGCTGTGATGATCTGCAGTCATTGAGGTTGGGATCACTCATCATCGTTTAAAAAGATTGTCAATGTGGTCCCCAACAGGTGCCTTGTATTCGCCACAACCGCTATGAACACAATCGTTGTAATGTTCATGGCTGTTGCGCGCGATTGCGACATGTAGCTTGCTGGGCGTTTTTGTTTGTGGCCACCAGGGCAACGATCATCACTGTGGCGGTGGCGCCGCCGCGCTGTGTGTAGCCATCGTATGAGGCTTCAGTACACAGACCATCTTGGCTGGGTGTGTTTGACGGGTTGGTACCAGGTATATGTACTCGCTGCAGGCACTGTCCATAACGCCTGGCCGCCAGCGGCAAACAGTTCCAATTCAAGCAGCACCCCACAGCGGCGGTTGAACCAACGGGGCAAGCACTAAAGGGATGATCGCGACGATGTTGCTGAGGGGGGGGCGAAGCAGAAGAGGGTGAAAGGCTGTGGGCCAGCGGCGCAGAGGGAGGAGGGGAGGGAGACGGGAGGTGAGGACGGAAGGGCTGTCTTGCCCCATGGCTACGGTGGTGTTCGCACGCAGCAGTGTTCACGAGCACAGCGGCACTGATAC